ATTGCATGATTGATGTGATAAAGAATGATGAAAGGCTTAGAATTTTGGTGTCTAACTATGAAAGTTATAAAGCTACAAGAACTTACAAGAACTTACAAGAACTTACAAGAACTTGCAACCTCAAGTAAAGATTTGTGGCAATTTTATCTTGATTTTTTTTTCCTATACATGGACAAAACTCTATTTCTTAGTAAGCTTTTAGAAAACAGTATAAAGATCTCTCGATAGACTATGAAATAACAATGATTCAAAAAAAAACCAAAAAAAAAAGAGTAAGATTAATCCTTTGATAAGTCCAAGTCTGACAATTTAGTTCAAGATTTAAAGTCGATCTTTTTCCCAGTGTCACTACCAGTTTCCGTTGAAATCCTTGAACTTCTTTGGCTTTAAAAAAAGATGCACGTGCTCAAATCTCAAAAATTTTAAAAAGATCATCAAAAAGAACGGTTTTCTATGTCTCTTTTTCTTTTCAGCAAAATTCTACGAACATTCAATTACAATCTCTCTGGTTTTTTCAAAGCGTTCAATCGTTTCCGTTTTTAAATACTCTTTCCTCCCATTTTACTGCCTTGTAATAGCTGTTTTAAAATCTTTTCATGGCTGCTGGAAACTTAAAAAGTTAAAAGTCTTAAGTTTTCCCTGTCAACGATAGGATTTTAGATATTTGTTTTAAAATATACCAACATAGATGCATAATTGTACGAAAACTGGATTTGAATCGGCTAGATCAACACTTGAACTATGCAAAACATCAGGGTTAGATATTATCATTGTCATTTGTGATCACAATTATTCAGCCAGCAACAAGCACTGGTTAACCAGCTTTTGAAAACCCTCATTTCTTCGAATCTCAATCCAAATCAAGGTTTTGATAACGGAATTCTTTCACCAAAACTTTTCCACTTTTCTTTAAACCACTTGACCAGCAGAAAACGCTGACTAACGTTCGTTTTTTTCACCCAATCTAAGCCCCGCTCCTTTTTGCCAATGGCCGCACAGACGGACAGACGGACACTTCTCTTTTATATAATAGCTTGTAATAGCTTGTAATAGCTGTAATAGTTGTAATAGCTGTAATAGCTGTAATAGTAGATATCCTCTAGTTTCATCTAGGAATCGAAATCTCCAATCGATCAAAAGCTGTCCAAAAATCGAAACTTTCAACAGATTAGGGTACATTTCCTTGTAAGAGTTGGGATAAATGCTTAAAAGTACATAAAAGTTAGATTACTGTAAAGAAATTCAATTAGTTGACCGATAGAATTCGATAGAAAAGCACCGCCCCTTTTTGCCAATGGAAGCCATGGCAATGGCAGCACAGACGAACAGACGGACACTTCTCTTTTATTTAATAGCTTGTAATAGCTGTAATAGCTGTAATAGCTGTAATAGTAGAGATTCTCTAGTTTCATCTAGGAATCCAAATCTCCAATCGATCAAAAGCTGTCCAAAAATCGAAACTTTCAACTTTTTTCTGTTAGCTGAGCACATAAAATTTTCAATTTTCATTTTTAAATTATCATTAAGTAAACAACTCTTCTCCCATTTTCCATTTTCATTTTTTTGTATGTTCTGCCATTTTTATGTGTACCTTTTTGTTGACCGCTTTCCGAATACACGTGTTGAATCCTCTCAAATCACTGCCTTTTTTCCCCTCTTTTCTGAACATAATTGGACACGAGGGATTTTTCTCTTTTTTTTTCTCCGTTATCCATTTCGAAAAGCTTTTACGTTTTTGTGAGTGTGGAAAAGAAAAATAGAATTGTGTAGGTGGGATAGGGACATTTCCCGATCAAATTGTGATCGATGAAAGATCGCACAAAAATGGTTGAAAATTCTTTCGAATTTACTATATTTCAGAAAAAAACTAGTAAAGATTGCCTTTTTTTTCAGAAATTTTGCAAAAGATTACTCTTTTCTGTGCTTTAACTTAAACTAGACGGTCCAGAATCAGTTAGACTCGGCTTTTAGAATAAGCTTAGTTCTTCTAAAGTAGACAGAATTCAGCAGAACTTGTGAAATGATTCTGTTGATTTGCAAGAATTGCAAAAGAATCCTGGGTTGGTAGAACGTAGCTCCTGATACTACTTGATAGAATTAGTTTGATAGAATTTGATGACACTAACCGTTCCCTAATCAAATTATAGATTACCCTAATAGTGGTTCACCCTGAGCGTCGCCTAAATTCCTCGAAATCTCGAGAACCGCTTATCAAAACCTATCGATGTGGGATCGGAAAATGTAGCTGACGATGAGATCTAATCGAGGATTTGAGTGTTGAGCTTCTGCAAAAGCTTGGAAACCGTAAAATAGTCATCAACTCGGCTTGGCGGGGTCTACTATTAGAGAGAATTCGTTTGATAGAATTTGATGACGCTAATCGTTCCCTAATCAAATTATAAATTACCGTATTTGCCCTAATAGTAGTACACCATAAGCTTTGTCTATATTCCTCGAAATCTCGAAAACTGCTTATGAAAACCTATCGATGTGGGTTGGGAAAATGTAGCTGATGATGAGATCTAGTGGGGGATTAGAGAGTTGAGCTTCTGCAAAAGCTTGGAAACCGTAAAATAGTCATCAACTCGGCTCGGCGGGGAAAATACGGTAAATGGATAAATGCACAGGCTGGGTTAATTTCAAATTAATGCACGTGAACACTTTGCAGACTGGACGATCAAAGGCAAGGTTGTTCCATGGACTAATTTTCCAGGCCAATTCTATAGCTTGGCTTTGACTCTATCCCTGGCCACTTGGCTTTTGGGATACCCGGATCAAAAGTCATGCAAATGTTTGTATTTTGTAAACCATCACTTACAATTATTCTTTCTCTTTCTTTTTCTGATTGCAAACTCAGCTGTAATTTGTTGATTGACGGGAATCCAACCCGGAGGTCTAAAATGATAAGAAATTTAGGCAAGGGGTCAATAGGGGAAATTCGTATCTTTTTCTTTTCATTCTTTCATTCTGATATCATTGCTCGTGATTTTTGCTCGGAAAAGAAAAAAGAGAAAAGGTGATGATGCTTTTAAAAAGCAAAATCGGGCCACACCCCATCTTCTTTACATCAGATGTTTCGAGTTTTCGGGTTTTCTGCAGATTTTTCTGCAAATTTTCTTGATCAACAAGAATTTTGATTCTTAAAGGACAAAATTAGTCAATTAAATGTCTATGATTGATTATATAAACTCACTACTTAGACATTGAAAGCTTAAAAGTTAAATGTGTGAATCTTTGGGTATTTAGTTACCAATTTAAGATTAAATTTATGTATTCTAAAAGAAATTCAGCAATTCAGCAAAATTCAGCAACAGTTGAATTGAAAAATTGTAAACTTTCTGATTTAGTTGAATATTTTGAGGAAGGAGGACTCGAAGAAATTGTAAACTTTCTGATTTAGTCAGATCAGTTTTTCTTTATTCATTAATCTCATTTTAATTCAATCTTCTTTAATTAATAGATAGTAGAAAGGAATGAGTTTAGTATTCAGTAGTGAATTTCATTTGGCTTGGGAATTTGAATTTAGATTTGAAATTCAGTCTACCGCTAGTAGCATCGATTCTATCACATTTTAACTCAATCCTGTTTAATTAATAGATAGTAGAAAGGAATGAGTTGAGTAGTCAGTAGTGAATTTCAGTTTTCAGTCATCACTTTTTCAGTCATCAGCTTTTCTTTATTCATTAATCTCATTGTTTACATAATTTTAACTCAATCTTGATTAATTAATAGATAGTAGAAAGGAATGAGTTTAGTATTCAGTAGTGAATTTTATTTGGCTTGGGAATTTGTATTTAGATTTGAAATTCAATCTACCGCTAGTAACATCGATTCCATTACAGAAGAACGGAAGTTCTACCTTTTTTATGGATATTTATTTACTATTTATATTTATCTTACTAAATATTCATGTAGGAAAAAGGGGATTCGAAAGAATTCGAAAGCTGGGCGTGAAAAACGTGGATCCTCCCAGAGAGACAACGCCTTCCTTTCCCCTTTTCCCTTCCCATTTCTAAACGTCACTGTATAATTTTATGGAACATCACATTTTAATATTTTTTTCTTTTTCAATATTCCCATATGTTTCCCCTATCCTTTTCTATTCACATTCACTTTTTATTTGTCTGCAATGACCCGACCTTTTTCTCGGATTATCCCACACACTGATGAGTCTCTGGATCGTTTCATTTCAAAATTATTACACAATTGGGAATCTTTCTTCAATGCATCCTTTTAAAGAAACTCTTCTAAAATCATTTTCTTGATTCCATTTTTAGATATCTTTGATGAAAATTCTTTTTCTTGACTTTAAAACATTTCACTGATTGAATGGGAAAGATTTTACATCAATTTTTCATTTTGATTTGAAAATTTGATATTTCTGAATGGTTTCTTTTCAAAATTATTACTCATTTTCATTTTTAAAAGTGTAAATTTACATTTCAGATTGTTTTTAGAGTTATTTATTATATTATTACTGATACTGTTATATAATTACCGTATTTTCTCTAATAGTAGTGCACGAAGCCGAGCCGAGTTGATGACGATTTTACGGTTTCCAAGCTTTTGCAGAAGCTCAACACTCTAATCCCATAGAAGATCTCATCGTCAGCTACATTTTCCGATCCCACATCGATAGGTTCTCATAAGCGGTTCTCGAGATTTCGAGCAATTTAAGGGATGCTCAGGGTGCACTACTATTAGAGAAAATACGGTATATTATTATAAATCAGTACCAGTTCTGTGCTGTACTTTGTGCTCTAACAAATGCAGATTTATTGGCATCTTTGTTTTTTTTACTTTGCGAGAATGAAATGAAAATGAAACATACAATGTGCCAGATAGCTTTGCAAGAGCTCAAAGGACAGCTTGTTTATGTGTCATTGTTGATACTTGATTTCAATCTTCATCTCCTCTTTGTGAGCAAGATTTCCTGATCAATGTTCTCACTGTTTTCTCATTGTTACCAATTTCAAAAAAACCAACTCATTTTCTAGGTGATGGCGTCCTATTTGGCGCCACGGGTTCACCCGGGTGCTTTCACAGCACCTCCCGTGGTCTCACCAGTTGTAAGTGGAATTCCCGTCTCATCTGTTCCACTTGCCGGTCATCCCCACCGTTCTCCTTATGACCCATCCACTTCGGGAATCCCACCGCCAACCGCTCCAACATCCCCTCCTAATTCAGCTATTCAACATCCGCCCAAAGAGAATTCCGATTGTGGATCAAGGTGGGGAAAGTTTATGAAAGATTCTAGTTAACAATAAAGCCGATTTTACATTGATACATTTATCTTTTACATCTAACAGTTCTAATAAACCTTCTTACTGGTTTATTACTGTACTTTTCATAGTAGAAACAGTACAGTAATCGCTGTTTACAGTAATCTACCTAATTATTCCAATAGAAGACTCGAAATCCGGACTTTTCCAAACTTCTTTTTAGTTAGAATGAGAGATTTGGATCCAGTTAGAAGTATTTTAGCTTTGACAGTAAAATTGGAAACGTAGTTTTCAAAAAAAGATCAGAAAAATCCATGCGGGATCTTTTGAAAGATTCTTTTTAGGTTCTGGCTAAGAAAATTCATTTTTAAACATAGTTTTTAGCACTTTTTAAATCAAGCTCTATTATTAAGATCAGTTTTTAACAATTTTGAACATTTTGGTTCATTTGCGGGACCTTTTTTTGGGTTGAATTCTTGAATTCTATTGGAATATTAACCAATTCTTTTGAAATATTTATTGTACCTTTGCTCAGATCTTTCTAATCTTGCTGATCTTTTTTTGAACAAACATTTGAGTTCATTTCAGTCAAATACCATTTTTTTTTTGTCTTCTTCTTAATGTTTTATAAAAAGTAAACACCTTTTATCAGGACTTCCGTTTGAACTTACGATTCGAAAGCTCATAAGTAAATCAATGTTGTGATAAGAGTTAGACTAACGTATGAAAACGAATATTTTTCTCATTTAAGGGAAAACCCACGTGAAATCAATGTGTTTTCTAATCCTTTACGGATTGAGAAGATACCATTTTTTGTCTTCTATGCAATGTTTACAAAAAGTAAACACCTTTTATCAGCACTTCCGTTTGATCTTACGATTAGAAAGCTCACGTGGGTTTTCCCATAAGTGAGAAAAATATTCGTTTTCATACGTTAGTCTAACTCTTATCAATTCATTGATTGGCTTAATCAATGATTTGATAAGAGTTAGACTAACGTATGAAAACGAATATTTTTCTCACTTATGGGAAAAAGTCAGTGAAATCAATGTGTTTTCTAATCTTTTACGGATTGAGAAGATAAGCATTGCAAATCGGAAAATCCGCTTGAATCCAAATGGTGTTCAGACTAAAAACGAAACAGTTAAAATTCTGTGGCTCAAACTCCTTTCTTGAAAGTCAGACTTGAGCTCAAACTTTGAGCAATCAATAACAGAATCGATTTCCTTAAAAGTCAAGGAATTTTGACTGTCAAAGTTGACCTTAGGTTCTTCAATTCATAAAATTTCGAATCATTTGATAAAATTCTTTCCTTTTCCATCATGATTCTCCTTTCCCTTCCTCAATAAACATTCTTATCTTCATAATCGACCGCTGGATTTCACTGAAAAATCAAACAATCCAAAAAATCATCGATTTTTGACTTTTCTCTTTAATATTTCAACAAAAAAAAGTGATGATTTTTAAAGATAAAAATGATCCCCGATTTTGGCTTGACCCAGTTCTTTTTTTCTCTTCTTTTATCCACAAAAAGATCCTGGTTCAAGGTGACTTTTTTTTGCTATTTTTAGTGATCTTTTATGCTATTCAAGAACAATCCAAGTTTTGAGTTATTTCCTAACCTTAAATCTCTTTTTTTTTACACTACATGCTCTAAAAACATCAATATAATACAAAAATAGGCATCTCTTTTACAAGAAATCTTTAAAAATCATCACTTTTTTTGAAATATTGAAGAGAAAAGTCAAAAATCGATGTTTTTTTGGATTGTAATGCTATTTTTGTATGATATTGATGTATTTAGAGCATGTAGTGTAAAAAAAATTCAGGGATTTAAGGCTAGGAAATAACTCAAAACTTGTCAAAGTACAATTGGATTATTTTTGAAAGCTTTAATTCCTTTTTAACAAAAATTAAACCTATGAAACGAGTAGTAAAACCAACGTCCACTTGATCGTGAAAAAGTACGCTTCAGATGGGGAATTTTCGGTGGAGAAAGGAAAGAAAGTGCACACAGCTGCACTCCCCCCTTTTTTGCTTGACCCGTTCTTTACGATCCCTTTTCCCCCATTCTCCATTCTCTAGATTCAAATCCATAAACATAACAATGAGATTTTGAAAGAAAAGTGATTAAATTGAAAATTCTTATAACAATTGGATTAGACAGGAGGTGAACTGATGAACTGTTGCTTTACAACTTCAGTTAACGATAAGAATTTCAGATCAGATATCATCAGATCTGATCCGATCAGATAGCTCAGATAGCTTAGATAGCTCAGATAGCTTAGATAGCTTAGATAGCTTAGATAGCTTAGATAGCTCAGTTATTTCAGATAGCTCAGATCAGATAGAACAAATAGCATTCCATTCATCTAAAAGATCGAATTTCCAGTCTTGATTTGAAATTTTAAACTGAGTACAGCAAATGATGAATGTAGAAGCAAATGATAGCAAAACTGAAACTGTAGAAGACCTTCAGATAACAATCTTCAAATAGTAGCTAGTATTTGGATAAGTTTTATAGATAAATTTACTCTAATCTTTTTAACTGAAGATCGATGATGGTAGAGAGGCTTTAAAAGACTTTTAAAAGGCTCTATCCAACAACTTGCAACTCAGAATCCTAGGAGAAAGAAAGCAAAATCTTCTTTTCAATCTTATCTTTCAATTCACCGATCTCTTCGATTTCCAATACCAAATCGATAACCCAATCGTCTTTGCAAAAGGAAACCAGCCCCTAGAAGATAGATTCATTTCTCGCGCACACCTCAGCCGTTTCTTTTCGCCGATTCCCCCAATCCTCGATCCCCTTCAGGCATTCTCTCCACATTCTCCTCCATCCATCGGCTGTTCCCGTATATTGACGTTTTCTGTCGTCTTCTTCCTTTTTGTTCTTCCCTTCCCCCTTTTTTTTCTTCTCAATTCCCCCACCTCTCGACGATTTCCCCCCTAAATATTGTTTACAAATTAACCACCCATCGCGCCTCCCTTTTTCACTTCCATTCACTGAATTCACTCTGCTTTTTTTGCTTTTTTTCCTCTCGCGTACACTCACTTATCGATTATTGATCATCTCTAACTTTTAAAGAGATTATTAAATTGAAAAAGTTAGAAAATATTGCTGAAACTTTAGCTTAAAATTGATGTTCGTGTTTGGCAAATTACCTAAGAATACAAATAAATTACTGCAGTTCCACTTTGAATTACTGCAGTTCCTTAATTTACATCCAGTCATGAAACTGCTATAACTCTTCAAAAGACTTTTCGAGTTGGTCAATTCGATCGATTTTAGCTCCGGTGTGGGCGGCATGAAGAATGTGGAGGTGTTGAGCTCGGACGAGGCCGGCTCTTCCTCATCTCCGTCGGGTGTTTCCGATGGCGGACCCACGGCCACCCATCCCACCCATCCACTACACGCCTCACCGATGAACATGCCGCCCCAAGCGATCCCTGGAATCCAAGGAGTGGCCGGACCATCCGTCCCACCACCCCTACCTGCACCATATTTTGTCGCCCCTCCTCCAAGGTGAGTGAATAGATAGGAAAGGTAGCCTAGTAGTTTAGCCCTTACTTCCAGCCCTTACCCAATCAGCTGAATATCTTTTAGTTTTCTGAAGAATTTCAAATAATATCCAAGTTATTCAAGTTTTTAATTATGGTTTTGATTAACTATTTCTTACCAAGATCTATTCTTCTTTGTTACTTTCAATCCTTCAACAGATCTACTAGTTAGCTCTTTTGAAACACTTTGTATATTTTCATTGAATTTCTTTCGTTTTCAGACCCGGTTTCCCTGGAGCTCCTCCCCTTCTCCCTCACGGCCCTCCACCTCCTTTAATGATGGTCCCACCGAATGGACCACCTATTCAAGGCCTTTTCTGCTCTCCATCCGATCTTTTTGTTCACATTCAACCTGGAGAGCGCTTGACTTTAAGAGTCGGCAATGAAGATCAAGATATTATTGGTAAATTGGTTAAAGTTATTGAATTGAAAGCTTTCAGGACCTGCCACTGTTCGAATGGTTGGTGAAGCGGGTTGTCATCCCTCCGCTCTTCCAATCTATGTTCCTCCTGGGCACCAGATTCATCAAATTGTTGATGAAAATGTGAGTGTCTTGAAGGAATTCTATTCTTTGCCTTGATCTAGGTAATCAATTTCTAATCGATTTTTGGCTTTCAGGGAGTCCTTCGCCATCTCATCCTCTCCTCAGAGCCATCGATGGCGCAACGCTCTCAACAACCAGCGGTATTTCTTTATGACCAATCAATATTGTACTTTTACGAGCCCAACTTCACTCTATTCATCAATTTTTTTCAGTCAATGATGAACGGCTATGGTCGAGCCGGTCCCTCGCAAATCCACAATCTCGTCACCGTCGATCGGCCGAATAAGGCTTTTCCGAAAACAGCTCCACCCCGACCACCGACTGCTGAGCCAACACCCACAGAAGATCAGGTAACATTGTTGATTTTAACATTTAGATAAAATTCCAATCTAATTAGTAATCAAACTCTTGGTGGAACGAATCGTTTTTCTTATTGAAAATCGAAACGGAGAAAAGAAGACATTTCTGTCTCTTGCAATAAAAGAGATACGGCGGATTGGGGGAAGAATTGAAATGGGGGAAAGAAAAGACTAAATAAGCCGGGGGTTTTATGATGACTGTAACAGTGACACCGATACACCAATCTCAGCCGATAAAATAAGGAAAGCCGACTATTGATTGAAATAAGCTTTTTATTGAAAGAGTTATGGAAATGTCACTTTTCAGGAAGACACATGTGACATGGATGTTGAGGAGAAAGATCGCCTCCGTGAAATGCTTAACTGCATTCAAGCACCGTCACTTGTTAGGGTCACCGATGTTGAGGCCGATTTACAATGGTGAGTTGTAAATATGGATAATGAAAGCCATGATAAAATTCTATCTAGAAATGACCTTGACTTGGAAAGAAAATTGGAAAATTGGCTTAGATTTGATTTCGATAACTCATTGTCATTGTTTTCATTTTGATTTATCAATTTTTACCTTTTTCATTGGTAAATAATCTGTAGTTGTTACAATTCTTGGTTTCAGTTTAAACTCAAATTTACAATCGTTTTCCAGGCAAGAACTGGATACTTCGGAAGCCGCAGCTCCTGGTGGTCCTTTCCCTCAAATCGACGCCTCCGAATTTAGCTACTCGGTGATTCTCTACGAAAATCAAGCAAACAATCCGAGATACATCACCACTTATCAGTAAGTTATTGCTTGATTATCTAAAACTTGATCTAGTTTTGATAAGAGAAAACCTAAAGCAAACCTAAAGAACAAATCCCTTTTCCAGATGTGATCCAGAGCAAGGCGGTAATTGTCTCCGACTTTTCAAACTTCGACCTCTCACCGACTATTTTGTTCAACTAAAGGCTTCACTCGAAGAACGAGGAATCATCGGCGAACCATCAAAAGCTGTCCATTTTAGAACAAAACCACCAAGACCGAATGCACCAATGCCATTAAGGTTTTGAGAGAAATTTCTCACCATTTAAATCCATTCTTTAGAATCCTTGAAACCGGCACGAATTTCATGGTGATTGGATGGAATACAGCTGTCGAAAAAACTCATTCTGTGCATTTCTACAATGTTTATGTACAGCTTGGGAACGAGCCGACGACAAGGACAAAGATGTTTAGTGGAAATGAGGAGAGAGCTGTCATCACAAGTGAGCTCAACGCAAATTAAGCTTTTAGATCTTTATTTTCATTATTACATTCTCCTAAATCAAAATTCCAGATCTCCTTGCTGGCACCAGATACGATGTTTTCGTTTCGGTGATGACCGATTGTGGGGAAAGCTCGTTGAGTTCACCGCTTCGAGTTGACACTCGTCCCGATGTGAAACCCCAAGTGCCAAACATTCAAAATATCACGGCTCGATCAGTGAAAATGAATTGGGCCACGATTCCCGATCACAAACTCTCCGTGGAAATGTCTGAAGGAAGAATGGATAACAATATTCGTGTTGTGAGGGAGCAAATCGCTGGACCTGGCACGATTGTTGACGGCTTGAATCCGTGAGTTTAAAAGATTCTAAGCTCAAACAATTGTCAGAGATAATGGGAAAATTTCAGTGGAACCGAGTACCGTTTCCGTCTCGTTGTCAGCGGTCTACCATCTGCTAAGTCCGATTGGGTGCCCGTGCGAACCACACAAGCTCAACGAAATCAAGAACATCCAAGCAAAGAGTTACGTGTCCTGGTCCCAAATCCACCCTTTGTCATCGCTTCAAGCAGTCGACGATTGGAGATTGGATGGAAAGTGAATGGAGCCAGGTGAGTTGGCATTTTTGCAAGACTGGTTTTAGATTAATTGGATTTAAAAGGTTAATTTGGACTATGGTATAGTTAGCGATCAATCCCCGAAATTTCATTGATACTCTTGGCAATCGATAAACGTTAAGCTGGTCTAGCTCTAGCGTCTTGAATCTAAAATTAGATTGTTTAGCTTGTAAGACTTGTATCAACGAAGCCTATATCATAATAATCCCAGTTACAAATTTGAGTTAACATAAGAATTACAGTTCAGAACACTATGCAACGGTGTCAGATTTCTTTTTTCCAACTGATTTATAGTAAATCTCTACCTAACAGAAAAAAGATGACAGTTTGCAAAAATGACTGATGATTCTATCTTGGTTTTCTTTCAGAGATCGTGAGTTCACTTATTTGGTCGAGGGCTCTCCAAGAATCCCTGAAGGAGCTCAACCGAAATGGAAAACGATCTACAGAGGAGAGAAAACCCAAGTGACCGTCGATGAAGGATTTGCTGTTTTTCGTGTACAAACTTTTAACAAAAAAGGAGTCAATGTAAGTTAAATCATTGAATATTAAAATCTAGCTCTTTTTCAGAGTGATTGGTCTTCTAATCTTGTTCTCCCGAATCCAATCGATGATCTTTCCCCTCCTGCTGCGCCATCGGTGCCTGAATTGACTGTGGTTGATAAAAGCACCGTGTTGGTGAGATGGCAAACTGGAATGGCAAAGGATAATGAAGTAAGGCTAACGGTTAGATATTGCTCAAATCCTATCATTACAGCTTCCCGATGGCATCTCGTGGGTGATCGAGTTGAGGCGAAAAGATGACAACAACAACGTCGTCTACAGCGGTCAAGAGCCCAGCTTCAGCATTTCTGGCCTAGCTCCACAACAAAGAGTCGAAATCCAGGTTACTAATATCAAAAATACAAAATTTACAATCAATTCTAGATCCGCAAAGTGTTTATGGATGAATCGAAGAGGTTAGAAGGAGCTTGGAGTCCTGTGGCATCGATCAGTACACCAAAAGAAGCGCCAAAAGTCCCAAGAAACGTCCGAGTGAATCAAGAGAAAAGAACGCTTGAATGGACAAGTGATGAGGATGAGACAACGATCTATCATGTGTCTCGATTCCGAGTCATCGGTGAAGAAAAGGATAAGGAATTGGAAATGAACACAAAGAAACAAGAGTGCTCATTGGGAGAGCTGGAGCCAGCGTCAGTGTATGAGTTCACGGTAAGTAGCCAGTAAAATTGAGTAATCCTGGAAACCTAGATTTTGGAAATAGTGACTTAAGCGCCAAATTTTTTGGCTTAAATGTGACAATAGCTACTGAATTTATTCATTTCAGGTATCAGCTAGTCACGAAGGAGGATCCTCTGATCCAAGCGCTCCACTTGTCTATGAGACTCGAGCCCAAGTCCCCCGTCCTCCAGAGGGAGTCTCTGCCGAAACAATGAGCATGAGTGAGATCCATTTGAGATGGGAAAGACCGGATTGTTGTGGAGCTGAAGTGAAACAGTACATCATTAAAGTTACACTCGATGAAGAGGTAAGGAGAGAGGCTTTGAAAAATAACAAATTTTCTAGGTTGTTCGAGAGTTCTATGTTCCGTCAACAGCCGAACAATGCGATTACAGCATCACTGGCCTTGAGGCAAGCACTGTCTACTCTATTGGATTGTTGGCTGAGAATGAGGTACGGTTTGATCTTGGCCACCTCTGATCTTTAGTCAGTCAGCCAGTCGTTGTTAATAAAGTAAAGTAATGGTAAAGAAAGATTTCTGGAAGGATTGAACCATCGATCTTTTGCTGACAATTGCTTAACCAATGAGCTAATCAAAGAATTTCTAGATCGGATGCAGTGAGCAAGTGGTTGTAACAGGCAGAACTCGAACCCCACCACCCCGCCCGCCCACCCTTGATGCTGATTCTGAACCCACTCAAATGCGACTTCGTTGGCGTCACATCTATCACCCGTCCACCGATTCATCACCAATTCGCTATCGAGTCGTTCGCGTAGTCGAAAATGAAGATGATGATACTGAACAAAACGTTGTCGCCTACGATGGAGAGGCTTGTCAATGTAAAATCCGAAATCTCAACGAGAATACTATCTACAAGTTCAAGATTCGGGCCATTGACAAGTGAGAAAGAGAATTTCTACAAGTCACCAAAGAAATTTTAGACAAGTTGGTCCTGGTGCTTGGTCGGAGGTGTACGAATTCTCGACAACGTTGGCTCCACCACCGGGAATCAAGGGATTGTTGAGTGCTTCGAATAGTGGAAATGGATATCAACAGGTAAAGACTGTCAGCTTTTGATTAAGAATTGGATTTCAGATCGAATGGCCATCCTGCATCAACAAGCAAAACCCGCGACGACTCTTCTATTCACTCGAGGTGCAAGAGTGCGGAGCTGAGAGGCCAGAATGGACCCCGGCAAGTTTCCTTTCATTCTTTCAAGAAAAAGCTTTGATCTATCAATGTTCTAACTTTGATCTAACTTTAGGTTTACGAGGGTGCAAATCCGCAGTACACGTTGAAGGTGAATGACTACCAGCGATCGCTTCAAGTACGCGTTCGATGTGCTCGTGTTGATCCAGAGGGAAAGAAGCTTTACTCAACACCATCACAGGTGAAAAAAGAACTAATGATACGATTTGTTTATGAAGCTAAACTGATTCTACATCTTAACAATAATCATTTCAGACTCTGTTCATCTCGAACTCATCCCGAGGAGAGCCCAAATCTGAGCCTTGCGTCGAAGTCCCAGCTCCGACATTCTTCCAAACTGCCTGCAAATGGGTGGCCGAGCGAAGTTTTGCTACCCTAATCATTGTAAGTTTTGAAATCAATTTATATATTTAATTTTCAATCCATCATCTTCTCTATTTAGCCAAAAAACGATGAAAAATGATTAGTGGTGGTGGGCGAATGTTTATAAATTTTGCTTGGGGAAACGAGGAAAAATTTTTTCTGGGTTTTGAATAAATGGGTTTTGGTATAAAACATCGTTTAAACTTTGAAACAAACAAATTCGGTGGAAGAATGTCCAATTTTTGACGAACAGAAGAAGAATAACTGGGAGAAAAAGATTCAAAAGCATCAATTAACAGCATTAATAAACATTAACTGTTTTGCAACGGAATCCTTTAAAACTTTACTACTTTGAGATTTAATTGGCTATCACCAGCAAAACAGTACTGTTATTCTCAGTGTTCTTCTTGTTCTAGGTCAAATTACCTTGATTTGGGATCAGTTTAAGGCTAGGATATGTTTATGTTAAATATATTGGGTTCGTGAATCGAAAACTGCCGGACTTTGAACTAAAATTTATTCAACATAAAACCATGAATTCATTCCAAATCATTTCCATTATGATTGATGACTTCTGCCCATTTTACAGGCAATTTGCGGATTCCTCTTTCGTAGTAGGATTTTGGTTTTGAATCGAAAAATTTTCAAAGCCAATTTTTGACTGCTTCTTCCGAATCGAAGTGCTCTCCCGCGAGCTCATTACTCATGAATAAATATTAATCAAAAGGGGCGAGGTCCGGACTGTATGGGGAGTGCACCAAAAGTTCCCAGACAAGGCTATTTATTTTAGAGCAAGTCAGTTTTGCAACGTGAGGACGCGCGTTGTCGTGGATGAGAACGGTCTTTGACTTGAAGGGCCTATTCTTCTTTAGGGATTCATTCACCTCTGATCATGATCCGGAATAAAGAGTAATCAAAAGGGGCGAGGTCGGGACTGTATGGGGAATGCGCCAAAAGTTCCCAAACAAGGCTATTTATTGTAAGAAATGTAAGAAAAGATAGATAGATTATAGACAAATATTATATTAGTATTGACGACTTCTGCCCATTTTACAGGCAATTTGCGAATTCCTCTTTCGTAGTAGGATTTTGGTTTGTGTGTGAGACAAGTGTGAGACTCAAAAATGGAGGACTGGAGTTGTCCCAGTTTGAGCACTTTCTTCAAAAGAAACCCATTTTGCTGTCAATAGAAAAGTTGTAGAGAATCAAAAATTAGGTTTATAGCCAAATTTCCAAAAAGATACACTTAGTAGTTTCGCTTAAAATGCAAGTTTTGTGAAAATTCGTAAATCTGGCATTTCTTGAAAACCAGTTTTTGAATCTTTCTGAAAATTTGGATATAAGCTTGATTTTTGATTCTCTACAACTTTTCCATTAACACCAAAATGGGTTTCTTTTGGGGAAAGTGCTCAAACTGTCACATATGACAATAGCCGACAGTTTTCAATTCACCAACCCAATAGTGCTAAGATAAAAGTATAATAGATTAGATAAACTATATAATAAGTAGATAAAACAATGAAAAAAAAGTATAAACTAGCTTCCACAGTCAATGTGCTTTTCTAGATCGTTTTCTTTGCAATCTCGATCGTGATGGCATTCTTCATGGACTACGCCTTTGAGTTAGCCACCCCAGCCCAGCCAGACTCACCCAAGACAACTCCTCGACCAAACAATCGTCGATCTGGCTTGTAAAACTTCACATATCCGCTCATCCACTTTTTCACACTTTTTTTAGACCGCCGGTCGGAAAGATCCCCTATTTTCCTTGCTTGACTCCTTTTCTGTATATAGCAGAAATATTTATAGCACACACACACGTAAAAATCTTCTTAGCTGATGCATTTCCTTTTCTTTTCTATATTAGCACAAATATGCACTATGAATTGTGATTTTCCCGAGTCCTTTCGATGCCTTGCAATTCGGTCTGGTTCTAGTTATAACGACAAAAATATGTTTTTTTCTTTTCTGTTCTTTCTGGTGGAAAGGGTATTGTTTAGAGGCTTTGTACAAGGTTTTTGAGAGATGATTGTTAGATTTTCTAATATATTAGCTAATTCTAATCTAATTTAGTACTACAGTACAAGCTATAGTAAGCTATTGAGTTTCTGTAAGTTACCAGCAGCTCTACCGTACTTTCGGATAGCGGCAAAGCTACTGTATTCCAATTACCGATAGCTTGACTGGCTTAGGCTTAGGCTTAGGCTTAGGCTTAGGCTTAGGCTTAGGCTTAGGCTTAGGCTTAGGCTTAGTTACTGTAAAGAAAATAGCATTATAGAGCGCTACTGTTGACTATTGTAGTCTAACTAAGGAGCAATCGATCTTGCCAACTGTAACAATACATGTGTTTTATTCTCCTTTAGCTGTTTGGTAAATATTGAACTCAAAATCTAAACACCAAATTTCAAACCCTCTCAATACCTTTCCCCTAATGTCATTTCTGTTTCATTTTTGTGATGTGGCTTCCATATCGCCCCGGTGATCGCTGTGAGCGCATCGCTCCCTCCATATTCAAACAAAGAAAATAAAATTGACTCCAATTCCTTTGGGGCCAAGAATTTCTGTATATTTCCTAAGTTATTATGTTATTTTTGCCCTTTCCCGCTTGTTTTTTGTGTGTGTTTTTCCTTGATCGTGTTCGTTTCTTGCAAAATTTAGCCTTCTTTCGTTTACCAATCCCCACCTAGTATTCCATATCATCAAATACGAGCGCGTACAAACAAAAAAAAGCCCAATTTTTCGTTGATTTTATTAGATTTTAAACTTTCCCGAGTCACTAAATGATTTCCTTCCCTTAAACAACGATTTTTCTATAGTTCAGCTTTATTTTCTCAAGTTTAAGAATATTTATATCCCAATTTTACACGGTTTCTCTTGGTTGCTTGTAGTTTTTAAACGATTTTAATCGTAAATTGCTGATATGTTTGCTTTTTTTCTTGAAATTTGTAGTTTATAGCCTTCTTAGACCATATTGTGTCATTTACGGGAAATGGTTTTATGGAATTCCAGAATTGAACCAGTTTAGCGCTGTGGTTGGCTGAGAGATTAGCCTGCTAGCCACTAAGCCATGATGCTAGCTCCCTCCCGGCCAAAAAAACCCTTATAACTGAATTGATAATCTGTAAAGCTTTTGGATCTCCTGGAAAACCATTTCCCTTACAATTCCCCAATCATTTAGTGGCGCAAAGGAGAGTTGGGTGCTTTCTCAAGGCTGGACATCAAATGTCCGCCCGTGAGCCCTTTTTTCTATCCTTTTTTTGTCATTTTCTTCCTTCCATTGGCCCCTAGTTTACTTTTTTACCTTTTTTTTTCACAAAACTTTGTTGCTTATTGTCTTTTTTTGTCTGATTTGATCAAATAAATATTTTTGTCTCGGAGAAAGTGAAGAATTTTGAGAAAAAACAGCACAATTCTCTGGTTAAAATTTAAATAAGTTCAAAAATTTATTCATATTCTGATTATTTAACTTGGTAGAGCAAGCAAGATCAGCTCAAAACCTTAAAATCAAACATTTAAAACCAATAAATTGGCAGATCATCAGAGATTACTGAAATCTCATCTTTTCACGACTGATTTATCACTCATTGGAGCCAAAAATCAAAGCTTCTTAATCATTAAGTGATCAAAAAGTGACAAACAAGCGCAAGTTTTTGAATTCAAGACGTCAGAAACAATCACTTGAAAAGAAAAAGAAGAAAAGAAAAAGAGGAAAAGAGTGCACGTGAACGGATCACTCAAAGCAATTATTTCCACTCGTAAAGATATGCGATCGGAGCTGAGCTGTAGCTGAACCAATCGTGTAGCTGAGAGGAGGCTTGCAGAGAAGAGAATCACAATTGAAACTCGTAAATGGTTACTAGAAATTGTTCGTAAGCTAAAATCTTCAGTAAAGTCCTACTAGTTTTACGAAATAAAAGAGTACAATATGCTAAAGAGTGTACTTTCATTTGACAAACACAAAACACTGGACTATAATAGTTCGGTTAATACAAATAAGCATACAACTAGGGTATTTACCGTATTCTCTCTAATAGTAGACCCCACCAAGCCGAGTTGATGACTATTTTACGGTTTCCAAGCTTTTGCAGAAGCTCAACTCTCTAATCTCCCACTAGATCTCATCGTCAGCTACATTTTCCGATCCCACATCGATAGGTTCTGATAAGCGGTTCTCGAGATTTCGAGGAATATAGACAATGCTTGGAGTGCACTACTATTAGGGTAATCTATAATTTGATTAGGGAACGGTTAGTGTCATCAAATTCTATCAAATAGGATATGGTAGCATCAGGAGCTACGTTCTACCAACCCAGAATTCTTTTGCAATTCTTGTAAATCGACAGAATCATTTCAAGTCGCACCGCAACCTAGAATACCGTATTCTCTCTAATAGTAAACCCCGCCAAGCCGAGTTGATGACTATTTTACGGTTTCCAAGCTTTTGCAGAAGCTCAACTCTCTAATCTCCCACTAGATCTCATCGTCAGCTACATTTTCCCCACATAAATAGGTTTTGATAAGCGGTTCTCGAGATTTCGAGCAATTTAGGGGATGCTCAAGGTGCACTACTATTAGAGAAAATACGGTATACAAAATCGACCGTAAAGAGCAATCTATAAGCTCAATAAAAAGTACCATTAAATACTCTAATAGAATGGCACCTTCAAAATGATAGGCTTATAGTCGCTTAGTCTAACTTTAAACGTCCCGTTATCCGCGTTACTTTCAGCTACAGTATCCATTTGGATTTCATATGATAACCCTTGAAATCTAGTATTTTTTTAATACCAAAATTGTAGTTGGGCTGAGAAAATGATTTTCTAAAAAGAAGTTAGACTAGCGATTGTACGAGGCGTTCTATTAAAGTATTTAGGGTTGTTTGCAAGTTTTTTTTGCATCGATGACTTAGATTGGATTGCTACAATAATCGTCTGAAAGTTTATCTTCTTAACAGTACAATTCTAACACTTCAATCCAGTTTAGCAAGTAATTCTTAGTAAGTAATAGTAAATTTAGTAATTCTAATACTTTAATTTAGAAATAGACAAGCTCAAGCTACAAAAAAAGCTACAAAAAGCTACAAAAACTAGTACAGCTGAAAGTTAAAGCAAAGAAGAAGGCTAAAGCTTAGTTGAATGTTATGATTCTAATAATAGACACAAATAAGATGTCCTCTAAACATAGTAGGCTATTGAGTTTCTGTAAGCTCCCAGCAGCTCTACCGTACTTTCGGATAGCGGCAAAGCTACTGTATTCTAATTACCGATAGTTTGACTGGCTTAGGCTATGGGCTTAGGCTTAGGCTTAGGCTTAGGCTATGGGCTTAGGCTTAAGCTTAGGCTTAGGCTATGGGCTTAGGCTTAGGCTTAGGCTTAGGCTTAGGCTTAGGCTTAGGCTTAGGCTTAAGCTTAGGCTTAGTTACTGTAAAGAAAATTGCATTATAGAGCGCTACTGTTGACTATTGTGGTCTAACTAAGAAGCAATCGATCTTACCAACTGTAACAATACATCAGTTTTATTCTCCTTTAGCTGTTTGGTAAATATTGAACTCAAAATCTAAACACGAAATTTGAAGCTAACCGATTGTTGTTTATTGTTTTCAATAGGCTTAAGATGAAGTTCAATCAAAGAAAAAAAAGATATGGGTTTAAATGGAAAAGAAGATGTCGTCACAGTCGGTTTCTCGGCTTCTCCCATTTGGCGCCCCATCCGATCGTCAGTCGGGAATCTCCCAAAAAAAAGAAAAAGAGGCAAAAATGATAAGCTTTCCTGCTTTCACAAGACGAGCCACTGACACAAATTTTCACAAAGATTAAATCAATGCAGATTAAATGAAGTTTTTTGATTTTTTCGATATTTCATCTTAGATTGACCTTGTTATCGGTTTTTGATCGGTTTAAAAAGTTGGATTCTGTTTTCACTTTGTAGTTTTCATTTTTTAAAGCTTTCTGACCTCATAAACTGATCCTTTCTAGAGCATTTAATTGTTGCACAAAGAACAAAGAACTTATCTTGCACTACAGTGATCTATGGAAAATGTTTGTTAGTTAAAATAATTGAAACTTAAATTAAAAGATCAATTCCTTTCTAAATAAAGATTAAATTTTGTAAAAATTTCAATTGTAACACCAAGAAAGATCAATTTCAAATTCTTTCTTTAAATAATTTACAATTGAAACTGATTCAAATAAAATTCAAATGAAAAACATTTACTTCCAATCAAAACTTATCAATTCCTCTTCATTCTTTGTTTTTCTCTCACTTTTTACTATAATATTTTCCATTTCAAATATCCTTTCTCCGTTTAGAAAGCTTCAATATTATCTATTCAAATTTTTCTGATAACTTTCAATCTTTGGACAAAGCCACACTGTCGGCGATAACCTAATGAACCCGCCAAGTGGCGGATATAATGTAAGTTTATTAAAAAGTAACTTGATTAACAGTAACAGTAAATAAAAGTAACATTAAACTTGCTCATCAATTAAAATTAAAATTTGCCTAATTTAATCTAAAATGTTTCATTGAAGATTGGGGGTAGGCTAATTTCCGCAATTTTTTTTGCGCAACTGGGTCCTTTGCGCAACTGAGTCCTTTGCGCAACTGGATCATTCGCGCAACTTGCCACAAATTTCTTCTAAGTCGGTCAATCTTTATGCTTTGGTTTCATTTTGTAGAACTCAATAAGTGCAACAAAATGAAACCAAAATCATAAAGATTGGTTGACTTAGAAGAAAGTTAAGGCAAGTTGCGCAAACGACCCAGTTGCGCAAACGACCCAGTTGCGCAAATAACCCTGTTGCGCAAAAAGAATTGCGGAAACTAGCCTACCCCGAAGATTGAAGTCAAAAACTATCTCAAACATTTCTTGCCAAAGTCAACAATTTTTAAATCCATGTATTATAAAGAAACTATTAAATCTTATAGAATCATTTTTTTTTGCTTTTCTAGGCTTTGATTTAGATCTCTAGTCATTCTCTAACACTTATTTCTTTCATTTTAATCCACTTAATTCATTTTCCATGCAAAAGTCGAGTGTCGGGAGTGCACTCGCAATTCATTTTTGGCGATAAGAAATGTAAAGGGTCGGTTTGACGGGTTTCCGTTCATTGACAAGGGAATTTTCGTTTGAAAAAACCCGAAAAGCAATTTGATTAATTGATTGTTCGGGGCAACGATTTTTGATCAATTAGGAACTTAGTGTATTTTTGAAAATTCAATAATAAGCTAAGAATGTAAAGTCAGTTTCATGGTAAATGGTAATTTGAGTTGTCTGGTTTGTTTGTACACTCAAAATTAACTGAAAAATCAAATTTACCAACCTAGAATCTTCTGTTTTCATCAAAATTTCCCATCCGAACTGAATGATTTGAAAAATTTTAAACGTCGAGCAGCTCAACCTGAATTTTGATTTTAAACTACGAAAAGTAGCTCTAATCGATCTTTAATTATTAGAATATTAGAACCAAAACTTGAGAGGCAAGGAACCAAATTTAGAGAGAAAATGAACCAACGAAAAGAACTGTAACTCTAATAAAGGGAAGGCAACAGTACACAGTACGTGGCCAAATGAGGTCTATGGCCAGCCATAAACCATTCAACGCAGAATTTCACGCTGATTCCGAATCTCCTTTCTGTTTTTGCAAAATGGCTTTCTATAAAAAGTTATACGTGTTTTAAGTTTTAGGAAGAATATGCGAAAATTTGAGAAAGGGATGCCTTTATCAGGGTTTTCTCACGGAGATCAAACGTGTCGTGTTACTTATATATGTTACGTCCGAATCTGAGGAGTCGTCCATCTCCGATCCGGACGTCCGAATCTGAGGAGATTCATTCTCCTCTGAAACGGACGTCCGACTCAGAGATGGGCGTCCGACTCTGAGTCGGACGTCCGGATCGGAGATGGACGTCTCCTCAGATTCGGACGTAACATATATAATTCAGAGCTGTCCGTCCGTCTGTGCGCAGCCATTGGCAAAAAGGGTCTGAGTCTGAATTTAGGAATTTAATGCAAATTTTAGCAAAGCAGTCGCGTAGCGGATATTCGGTAGTGGATAAAGCGCTTGCATACAAAACGAGCGATTCATTTTCTGCTCGAGTTCGTTTCCTTTTTCGTAAAACTTTTGTGTTTCGTTCTGCTTTCACACCTGAATTTTTTTCTTGCTTTAAAGCTAATAGAAAAGTTTATACTATAACGAAAAGCGTTGAAAACGGAAAACAAAAGTTTTACCAAAAAGGAATCGAACTTGAGCCAAAAACAAACTAGCTTTAGCTTTGTATGCAAGCGCTATACCATCAAGTCACAACTGAGATCCGTAAGAGAACATCGTAAGAGAATAAGACATCCCTATTCGTCTCCAAATTTTCGCATATTCTTCCTAAAACTTAAAACACTTATAACTTTTTATAGAAAGCCATTTAGCAAAAACAGAAAGCAGATTCGGAATCAGCGTGAAATTCTGCGTCGAATGGTTTATGGCTGGCCATAGACCTCATTTGGCTTCACTTTTTGCCAACGGCTGCGCACAGACGGACGGACAGCTCTGAATTATATATAAGTAACACGACACGTTTGATCTCCCTGAGAAAACCCTTATAAAGGCATCCCTTATAAAGGCATCCCTTTCTCAAATTTTCGGATTTTCATCCTGGAACTTAAAACAAGTATAACTTTTTATAGAAAGCCAGTTTGCAAAAAACAGAAAGCAGATTCGGAATCAGCGTGAAATTCTGCGTCGAATGGCCACATCCTACTGTTGCCTTTCCCTTGTAACCTCTTTTAAGGCTATGTATAAGTTAAAACTTATTTATTTAGCTTAAAAAGCCAAAAATTATACTTAAAGCTTGATTATTTAGCCAAAGAGCTCAAAGTTATTGGCTCACACGGTCGAGGTTCTGCCAAAGAACGACTCGATCAGGATTCCCAACATCGACCATTTCAGTTACGTGAAAACGCTTGGAGCCGGCAGATTTGGAGATGTTTGTTATAGAATTTTTTGATTAAACTTCTGAAACTCCTGAACCTCCTGAACTTTCCAGGTTGTTAAATATGTGGACACAAGAAATGGATCCTTTATAACGGCTAAACAAGTCAACTTGCAGCTTTTCAATCATTGGAGTCAAAACTTTGAGAAGATCAAATTGGTGAGTAATTTATTTGCTTTTCTAATTTGAAATTTGGATTACAGAGATTTAAACAATTTCTCGAGAATGTCACCCGTCTCCATACGATTAGCCACAATCATGATCGAATCGCGAAATTGTTTGGAATGTATGCGGATATGGAAAGACTCACGTTATTCACAGAATTTTGTGAGAATGGATCAGTGAAAGATCGATTGGAGAAAGGCCCATTGTCTGAGTCGATAGCTCTCAAATACTTGGCTCAGGTTTAACCTTTTGGATCCTTTTTTGAATGATAACAAGTCTTCCCACTTGTTTTCTTAACACTTTAGAATTCAATCGAATTTCGATTTGATTTGCTTTGATTTTATTTGATTTGAATTTCGATTAACTGATCAAAAGGCATGCAAAAAGCTGTCTCAGCGGCTTGGATCTCAAAATATTAATAACAGCAATTGCTAAACGATTTCTTTTCAAATCCACTTTTCAATTCAATTTCAAATTCTCCTCAAAAAACCGTTCTTTGCCCGGTGCCCATGTCGCAATTCTACGTGTTTCTTTAGACAATCGACGCTCTGCACTATCTGCACTCTGTGGAATCTCCCCCTCTCGTCCATTCTGATATCAAAGGTATGCAATCAAGGCTGTGACTTACAAGGGAATCAGGGAAAAGACTTCTGTTTTTGCTCAGGCCATTTTGAAGAATTTTGCGTCACTTGATTCAAAAGGGAGGCTTTAAAGAGAGACTTTTTCAGCGACAAATATCTTGCTTTCATCCGATGACACGGTCAAGTTATCGAATTTCGGATTGGTGAGGGATTTGTGTATCGGTGGATATGGAATGGCGATGGCTGCTGTGGTGGTACCTGATGCGAGAGGTGATTGATTAAGAGAGCTTTTTAAAACTTGTTTTTTAATTTGAGATCTATAATACTAGACTTTATCTAGTTTTCTAAAAATCTAGTTTCCACGGTGTTCCAGCACTAGAAATTTAGTCAGACTAGAGTCTAAACCAGAGTTAGACTTTATGTAAGTGAAATTCTGATTAGACAAAATGATTGATTGATTGACATTGATTGATTGACATTGATTGATTGACATTGATTGATTGACATTGATTGATTGACATTGATTAGACAATTGATTTTAAATTGGCTAAAGTTTGGCTTCTGAATAAGCTGAAAAATAGTTTTTAGAAAATTTTCAAAGATCTAGAGTATCTGGCTACTAGTCTAGTCTAGCCAAGTCTTGATTTTCTGAATTATTAAACCATCTTTACAACTTATATCGTTTAACGTCACGAAAACTATCCCATTCTTGTGCTGAAGCAAGATTTCCAGTAAACAATTCATTTATTGCAAAACTTTGAAGAATTCAAAGAATTTCTAGCATCTCTCCTTTATCTCGCGCCGGAAGTGCTGCTGAGCGAGTTAGGGCCGGGTTATCGGAGTTCGTATTCTCCACCCTCCGATATTTGGTTGTCTTTTTTATCAATTTTAAACGGGAAATCTTTTAGGGCTCTTGGCTGTACCTTTGTCGAAATGCTGACTGGTCGACCCCCATACGGAGAATTTTTCGATCATGGAACAACACAAAAAGAACTCGTGGAAAAATTGAAAGGACCCTTGCATAAAGTAAAAAAGGGAAAGATTGAATTTGAATGGAAAATTTTTAGAGATTACCGTACACTGGTGTGTCAGTGTTACCGTTGAGCTCGGAGGGAGCGCATCTTGTTTGTGATCGGATATTCGAAGAGGATCCAAGGCAACGCCCAACTGCTGCTGAGTTGAAAAGTTCGTAATATGTTTTACGACTATTTTTTGTCGGTTTTACGCTTAGATTTGAAAATGTTTTCGAATCAATTTCGTTTAAAATCTTGAATTTAGAAACAAACAATCTAGACATTGGCACTATAAATTACAAAAGCGAACTGTCACACTACAAACGCTTCTAACTTTGTTCAAAGCTATCGGATTGATACGATCTATATCTCAAAAAATAAAGAATCTCAAGAGCTTTCGAATGGATTAAAGCACATTCAAAAATATTAATGCTAAAGAAAGTTACAGTAGTTTGTAGTCTGATTCGATCGGTTCGAATACGCGCAAGACTACAAACTACTACAACTTTCTTAAGCATTAATATTTTTGATGTGCTTTGATCCATTCGAAAGCTCTTGAGATTCTCTATTCTTTTAGCTATATAGCATGTCAATCCAACAGATTTAAAGCAAGTTAGAAACGTTTGTAGTTTGTAGTCTAAAACAGTGTTTTTTTTTTAAGTAAGCTTCTAAAACAGGAAAATTCTAGCTTAAACACTCAACTTTTAGCTTTTCTGACAACAATTGACGATGTGCCATCATCATCAAAAACAAGAGCTGCTACTTATGAAAGTGTTGAGGTACTTTGCATTACCGTTCTTGTATTGATCGCGTATTAATTGAAAAATTTATATGAAATTTGGGTGCCTTCATGGTCGAGTGGTTAGGAGGCTTGTATTCTAGTCGAGAAGTCACTGGTTCAAACCTAGCTGCTAGAAAATTTGACTCTTTTTGGGTTTACATGGCGTTTTTCTTTGCAAGATGGGTATTTCATCAAAGTCAAAATTTTCTAGCAGCTAGGATCAGTTGAGTGTATTTGTTTGTGTCACATTATCCATGTAAATGGGGACTTTTTTAAAGCCTAGTGCAAGTTAGGCTTGATCACAAATTAGCTGAATCTCATGACCTCCATTTAGTGCATCGCTGTCCCCTCAGCCGAGATCGTCTCCGAAATGTACGCCGACGCACCAACAACATCCACTGACGGTCAACGAGAGAGTATTTGAGAAAGATTTAACTAAAAGTTGACAAATTTTAGGGCAGCAAACGGGTGGCAGTGAGAAATATGCTCCAATGGAGACATTATTGAATGGAGCGACGCGGAAGAGTAGCCGGAAGAAAAGAAGGCGACGACGACGAACGGCACTCGAGAGGAGCTGGATCTGTTGTGCTGTCTACGGGTCTCGATGCACTTACTTTTTAGGTCAGAAAACTTTATTTTGACTTTTTTTTAAGATGAAAATTTAGGTATTCTAACAAAAGCCATCTTCTATGTATTAAGTTTTATCACGGTTGGCCTCGGCGCGTTGGCCGTTTTCCTTCTCATTGCTTGTGCGTTAGGTAAGCGTTTGGGTTGTTTGAAAAAAAATGTTGATTTAGATATAAAATTGAATTTATTTTCGATACTTTTCATATACTAGTCAATTTTTAGTTTGGCTTGTTCGTCAAGCGATCTCTCATGTGTGTGATTGCGATCTCATGGAGCCCCAGTATTTGGTGATCAGCGGAATCTTTCTCATTCTACTTTTTGCGTTGCTTTTCAGGTTTGTTTGGATGTTTTTGAGTAAAAGCGGCATTTGATAGCATAATTTGTTTTTCTAGTTGTTGTATGGTTGCCCTTGGAGAGTACAAATTTCGAAAGGCGAACAACAGCCTGAAGAAGTCGAGATTCTGGATGGAGAGACCCGAGAATGGAGTGAAATTTTGTGGACTACAGGTAGAATAAATAATTTGAGGAGAATTTCACTTACAGTTTATCCATTGAACTAACTTAATTGCTCTAGTTTAAGCAAATAAAAGCCAAGGTCATTTACAGATTATCAATCCGCCCGAGAAAAGGGAAAGTGAGGATTCGGAGTTGGACGAGGATCTAGAGCTTGGTTCTCCCCTGCCCGTCATCTCACCAAATCACGATTTCCTCAAATATTATTCTTCCGAACCATAATCCATCTCATTTATCCCATTTGTGATCAAGTTTTGATCACTTTTTGTCATTTAACATTTTTATCTGAATCGCCAATTCTTTGTTTTTCCATTTTCTTTATAGATAAAACTTTATTTCATTATATAACTACAAAAAAAACTTCAAGTTTCAATTCTCACGAAAAAAACATTTGGTCAATCCTATTCGTAAAGAAAATATCTGGGTTTTGACAAAATTCTCTCTTAAAATTATGCTATAGATTTATTTGAATTGAGCTATTCATGGGGCAATTATCACAAGCAACAAAACCGAAATTTTCATGAAAAAGAAACACAAAATTGGCAGCTTTCCTTAGAGCAACATATAGAAGATAGAAATTTTCAAAAAATTGGTCCAATCATAAGTGGTTTTCTATTGAATCTGAGCAAAAACAAATGTTATGTGAAATAGATTCAAGGCCAAATGATCAAGCACCCATCAGATAGGTGATAGATAAATGTAAATTTCATTTTAATATCCATTCGAGTACTTCTTGCCGCGTTGCTGTGGAGGCGGGGGTCCGTAGTGGGGCATCATGCCGGGTGGGGAATTCCGGGATGGCCAGGATGGACCATCGGAGGGAAAGGACTTCGGGGAGGGCCCATTAGGGGTGGAGGACCTCGGCCAGGATGGCCAGGGTGTCCTGGGAATCCCATTGGGCCTGGCGGGGGACCCATCCATCCGGGTGGGATGAATGGAGTGACGGGAACGGGCGATGGGGCTTCGCCGCGAAGGAATCTTGAAATTTGTTTTCAATCTGAGTCAAGGATGCTAATAAGGTCCTTATCAAACGTATTCTGGATTCAATTCTCAATCCACAACCCTTTTCACTCACCTAGCCAACTCTTGTTCGGTATCAACAATCATCACCAAGAAAGGCGATCCGGGCACATGCTCACCGTGCCATTTCACTTCCACCTGAACAAAACGGCTTGATTCTAGAAATTTCCCCAAACCTGATAATCTCCCGGTTCTCGTGGCTCGTATTTGCAATGAATCGTTCTTTCATTTTTCTTCTCTCTCTGCATTTCCACATTAAAAGCTCCCTTCGGTCCTCGGACACGCACTGTTAGTTGACCGGCTCCAGCGCCTTTCGTCTCCACGACAAAGTTTGATTTAAACCTGAACATAAAAATTGTTAAGGTTCAAAAAATCTTCTTTACTCAAAAGTTTTAATTGCACTTACAAGGAAAGGATTCCATGCTCAATTCCCGGACCATAGACACGAACTTTTGATGGATCTGGCGGCATCGACACATGAACAAGGAAAGGACTTCCAGCCACATGCTCTCCATCGTATTTGATGGTAAGCGTATGCTTTCCGACCTTAAAATTTAAAATTCCTGGCTGAAGCTGCTAAAAAAACCTCAGTTGGACGAATTGACAACGTGTAGGTGCCATCTCGGTGATCATAAAGCTCACAATATGCTAGTTTACTTGGTCCCATGCATTGTGCTGACAGTTTGCCTAAAGAAAACTATAAAAAACTAGTTTTTAAAAGTCAAACCTCCAGGTCCAGATCTCCTTGTATCAATCAATGTTTTCACTTCTTCATTCACGATGCCAATCTTGAGAGTTGATGTGTCAACAACGATTGAGTCGGCAACGCCGGATGATGTGGCAACAACGACTGGAAAGTTGAGTAATAAAGTAAAGTAAAAGTGAAAGCTTTCAGGAGAAGTGATTGAACCTTCGACCCTTTTGAACCCTCAGGCAGATGCTATAACCACTGAGCTATCCGGTATCTTTTTGTCAGAGAAGAAAGAGGAAATACAAGGGGGAAGAGGAAGGAAGAAAGAGTGCTTTCATATCATTGTCTCTTATCCGTTTGAAAATTAGATACTCAGCCAATGGCAAAGTTAACTCAAAGGCTCAAAGTTCTAACTCTTTGCAACACTCACCGGCAAACGGTGAGCCCCTCACGTGTCTTCCATTCCACAAAACGTGCAACTCGTAATTCCCGCCAAACATCGGCGTGTACAACGCTTTGTAGACATTGTGACCCAATTGTTGTACTTTCACAGGAATATCGGCTTTCTGTCCTATCAACGTTGCTGTCAATCGACCATCTAAATCCCTTGTTTTTTTTTCTCTCAATACTTTTCCATTAACCTCTCGAAATATCCGATCCATCAACGATAAACTCAGCGGGTTCCTTCAATTGAGCTCTTCTCAAACCGTCTCCACGAAGGATGACGTGAAGGTGATCGGCTGCCTCATCATCATACGCTTGAGGTTGAGTTGATCCCGTTGATCGTTCCCTAAATTGTTTTGATTAACAAACTTGATTGTTGCTTTATGCTTCTACTAGGTTGGTGCATATGTCTTTACAATTTTTGTTTCCATGAAAAAGTTTCCTTTATCAAATTTGTTGCGTCTTAAACTATTAAAAAGATCTATCATTTCTCTACAAAATAGTCTATGAGAGAAAGCTCAAAGCTCGCCTCAAGTCGATAAAAACGCATTTTTATGTAAAATTTTCATTGTTTTTTTAAAGAAAATCGCTGAACGGATAGTTTTCAAATTTTACAGACTTATGTAATCAAATAAGCTCTCCTTTTTTTACTTTAATACCAAAATAGATTTGTATTGTAATTGTATTGAAGAAAGTGTCCAAATTGTGACTTTGGCATCGGAGCAGTTTTGATTGCTCGCCTTTGCGCTTTTGAAAATCCACAAAAACAACTACTTCCAAGAATCTCCCAAAAACCATTTTGCAGAGAAACAATTAACCTTTTTAATAGTTCAAATAGAATTTTGTTGGTGGCGGCACGATTTTTAAAGGACGTTTGGAAAAAATTGTAAAGACTTATGTATTAACCTTATAATTGTTGAAAGCTTACTTCTTATGCAGTGGGGCAGCAGCGGCCACGTAGTCGTAAGTCTTGCTGGTGCTGGGCCCAGGGACGACGCCTCCTTGTCCGACGTTCATTCTAAAGTTCTTGATTGTGCTTTCATCAAAAAGGCCTGTTAAAGCTAGACTGTGCACTTTCAAGCACACTATATTTTAAACTCTTAACCAAACCGTACCTAAGCGGAAATGCCGTCTCGACGGGCAACTCGTTCCAGTAGAGGTAGAGCGCATGCCGCCCCGGATGTCGCGGTTCAACAGCCACTCTCCATTTCCCGTATCCGAGCTCCTCCACCACCACCGGACCTGTGCCTCCCGTTCCGCCCGCCGTAACGAGCGCGTCGTTGGCGTCTCGAACTTCGGCCCGAAGTTTGCCTAGAAATTTAAGCATAATACGATTTAATAGGCAATGAAAATTGCAAGTCTACAGGGTGCGCCAAAAGTTCTGTCACTTCAGTTACTAGGTTTATAGATTTTAAGGCAAATACCAATCAATTTTGGTTTTTTTTGAGCTTGCTTTATGAATATAGAATTGAATCAAAAATCGAAAAACGTATAAAAAGCGTCAAATAAAATGATCCTAGAAGAATTTTATCTTTTACAAGTAACAAATTTATAAATAAAGCATTTGGTTGCCGACGATTTGCTGGAATTTCAAGTCATAACAATTTTTTGGGACTAGCTATGGCCCTCATTTTTTAAATAAGCTGTATAGCAAATTAATTTCTGTTTTCTAAGGGGCTAGCATCAAAAATATTAACTTAATATCCATTTTTGGTAAAGTAAAATTTTGAAAATTGAGAATAGAAATAAAATAGGGTACTAAATTTTCTAGCTTTTTGCATTTTTTGCAGAAGCAACCTATCTCATTGAATCTCGCTACTAGATAATTTAGAAGTTCTACTATTTTCTATGATATTCTTCATTAAGCTGAAACAAAATTCAGGCCAACTCTAGGAAGGTGAACTTTTGGTGCACTCTGTAGACTTGCAATTTGCATTGCCTATTAAATCGTAAGCAAAACAGTATCATGAAACATTGTAATGTTTAAAGAGTTCTAGAAAAACACTAACCGGGTCCGGCCGCTGTGGCGTCAATGTCGATGACACTCCTCTGGTTGAGACCAAGCTGCAAATGTCCATCCCGATCCGCCATCCGATCATCAACGAGCACTTTTTGCGGATCGATCACTTTCACCTCGACGGGCGATCCTAAAGGTGATTCGTTTAAGATATCACAAAGAATTTTCAACCTTGCACATTCTTGTTGTTGAAGTGCACATTCACAACGTACAATCCAACTTCATCCGGATAGAAGACGACTTCTGATGTCCCATTTGGTCGTCGCATCGTGTTGTGACGAACTTTTGTCTTTTGTGGTCCTCGCACATCGATTTTCAAGCCTCCAGTTGACTTTTTCGGGTCAAAGATGAAGCTGGCGGGTTCGCCAACCTAAAATCAAATCCAGTAATACATGATCTAATATCGAAAAATTGTACCTTGACACTTTGATCAACAGCTGCGCCATAAATGGCTGGCTGCGACATTTCGGCCACGTGAATGGTTTGTGGGAAACCTAAATTTTTTGAATTTTAATGCTAAAGTTCTTCGTTTAACTTGTTGTTTTCAAGTCTCAAGAAGAAATTTCAGCTTATCGAGCATTTTATACACACCCCGCCCCTTTTGCCATTAGCAATCTAACTTTGGGCGCAAATATCTTGGTGTTGGGCTGTTCAATTAATAATTTTTAATATTCTTGATATCATTAGATGCGCCAAGTCTTTCTCTGTCGATTGGTACAAAAACTATCTAAATTGGACAGACCAACATAAAGAAATTTGAGCGCAAAGTTGGATTGCCAATGGCAAAGGGGCGCGTATCAAATCTCTCATAATCAAAATTTTAGCCTTATAGTTAGAGCATTTCTGACCTGGTAATGGGAATCCAGCAGCTTTGACATTGATCTTATGTGGCCCCAATTGAGTTGGCAAAAAGGTGGCTCGATCTTCCCCATTTGGACTCTTCATCATATCCACTTTCAAGGGTTTCCCTTCGGGATCAGAGACCTCAACCATTAAATCCTTGGTGCCAGCTTCTCGACGATTCACTGGAAATTAGATATTCATGACGATATTCGTGCTTCGCTTACAGGCAATTGTGGCTGCGTGTCTTAGTGTGAGGCCATCTTGTAATCCTCTCACTTGCACTTTCTTTGGATCGACGACTTGGCATTTGAAAGGTGAGCCGGGTACGGGAACGTCTCCGAAAGTCACTTCAATGCTGTGCTCACCTAAAATTAGGAAAATCGTGTACCTTCTCAGTATTCTATTAAAATCTTTTGAAAGAAAAAGTATTCAGCTTGCACAAATCACTTGACCACTAAGGATTGCGTGTTCACTCACCAGTTTGCTCAGGCGTGAACTCAACCCAATAACTATCATCTTGCTGTCGATAGCATCGGACTGGCAGTGGCCCGTTTTGTGGATCTAAACTCGGTTTTCAGATGTATAGAGCTTTTCACAGAAAACACAGAACATTCAAGACAAGACAAACAAAATTCCCTTTTGATCTAAATTTGATTTTGAGAATTGTGTAAGAAAACAAACCAGACACTAAAACATCAAGCTCTCCTCGGGTAGCATTATTTGTTGAAACCTCAAAGCGGGCAGTTCGACCCTTTTGTGCGAATCTCAAAGCGTCACCAGTTGCTCGAACAGCTCCCTCCGATGAGATATGGCATTCAATAGCTAAAATAAACTAAAATAACCTCCAATATTGTTGTAACTTACGTTGTAAATTTAGTCCATCAATCGTCACATCCAACAAGTACATCCCCGGCTGTTTCGGGACAAACGACCCAACGAGAAGCCCGTCTCTCACTTTTTTCAACTGACACGGAATCGTTCGATTCCCCAATGAGACCTCGACTTGTGCTGTAGAAGCGCCAGAGTTTGTGTAATCGACTAAAAGATTTATTTTCAGTTTGTCTTTTCTATTACCATTGAATCGTTGCTCGACACCGACACGATCATTTTTGATGCCAATCACTCGGACAGACGCTGGATCAAGAACTTGCACAAGGTAAGGACTTTGATCGATCTGCTCTCCACCAACGAGGATCTCTACTTCGTGTTCGCCATCCACCTGAAAAGTTCCTTGGGTAAAAGCTTCAAAAAAAAATCCTTAGGAGATTAAAGCTTTAAAAACCTGTACACTTTCTTCACTTACATTGTAGGGAATAACGAAAATCATTTGTTCAAATATCAGTTCCAGAAATCTGCAACTACCTGCGGAGTCCACTCAGCCACCATCGTCGTCTGACTGATCTTCGAGAGATGAACAGTCAATGGTCGACCATCAGGTGCCGACACTTTCACTTCAACCTGTGACTCCAATCCCTTTTCCATGAGAAGCCGCACCTCAGCCGGTTCTCCCACAACCTCTCTTCCAATCTAGATCACAGCTAATTTTGTGTTTCTCCCATTCAAACCTCTGAAATGAGTTGAACGCCCCGATTCCCATCGATCACCTCAACTGTTTGCTTTTCACCAACAGCTTCGTCTTGGACAAATGTGTCAATGATGTGAGGACCATGCTGGAATTGTTAATGAAAGCTTGTAGATTATCAACTGTTCAGTTACCTGCTTAAATCGACAAGTTGCTTTGACATTGCCATTAGGCAAATCCTCAAGTTGAACTGGCAGTGGTTTCCCCTCGGGACTTCGAATGTTCACCCGCACATCATGTCGATTTCTTCCATAAGTCGGAATTTCAAACGAGTATTTCTTTCCGACAACACAAGTTGATGGTAGTCTTGCAATGGAAAGTGGATCTGTGGTGACTTTCACAAAGAAATCGTCCCCAACTGGATAACCATCGATTGAAGCTTCGACTCGATGCTCACCTTGAAAGAGATATCGTAAGAATTGAATGTCGATTAGGAAATCAGTTCAATTCTTGATTAAATTAAATGTCAATCGGGGAATTAGTTCAATTCTTAAGAAAATCTGTTGATATTTTAAGTTCAAACCTGGAATTTGTGGAGTGAAATCGAAATGGAAACCGCTTTTCGTCTTCTGTAGATGAACCGGGAGACGAGATTGATCGGGAGCTGACAACAAAGAGACAATAACAATAAAGACAATGGACTTGGAGAGGACGATGCTAACAGACAACAGGAAAACATTGATCTAATGAATACCTGTCACAATCACATTACAGTCACCCGATCGACCGGTCGTCTCGATGTTGAAACCCTTTCGTTGACCAACCTGAACAAAGGAGTTTTCTTGTTTGCTGATCAAACTCTGCAAAGCTTTATTCAAAACTTCTTGCAAAGTTAATTCTAGTTTCATCTATATAGACTGTGAAAGACTCAACTTAACTCAACTCAGACTCACTAGAACCCTAGTTTATGCCACATTTATTTGTTGAAAGTCTAGTACACTCACATGTGCCACTGAAGATTCCTCCAATAATTTCATTTTTCCTTGTGGGGGAGCTGATTGAGCAAGGGGCTCAGTTTGGAGATGAGGAGCAATGTGAAGAGCTTCAACAGGTGGACCATCAACTGAAGTGACTTGGCAACGCATTGGAGAGCCTAAAAGTTGAAAATTAAGTTAAATAAGATAGCAAAATGTTAAGCAAGATTCTAGCAATTTCTAGATTCACCTGGAATTGGATGTCCATTAAATCGCACGCTGACAATGTGCTCTCGAGCTTCTTGTGGAGTGAAAGATACTTTGAAACGAGCTTGACCTTCGGACTGAAAATGGGTAAAGTACAAGATTAATGTGTTGTATTTCATTACTTGAACAAAATTGGGGACATTTCTTCCGTCAACCGAAACGATAATCTCCATATTTCCAGCTCCGGCTTTCGCTGCGTCAATCGAGAAAGTGGTTGGCTTTCCGACACGGGCTCCTAAATCTTTAGATAAGAATTGATTTCGAACTTATATTTTAAACATTTTTCAGTTCATACCGCTTGTCGACGATAGCCGAACCATTTCCGCATCATATGCTTTCACTGTGAATGGACTGCCAGCAATTTGCTCCTTGTTGTAGGCTACTTCGACCTGGAAACTAGATTAAAAATTGCTGGAGAGATTATTTACCGTATGATTTCCAACAATTTGGGGAACATAGCGAACTGAGTAACCGCCTTGAATGGGATGCAGCTTCGAGTCAATGATGACTCCTTGTGGATCTCTTACAACAACATCTGGACGCTCATCTCCGTGAGAGCTCACTTCGAACTCGGTTGGCTAAAATTTTGAGCACATTTTTTAGAAACTAATGTCTAATTTTTAAATATTGGCAACTTTCACATGCAAATAATATTTTCCAAGTCTCACCTCTCCAACAGAAACCCTTTCAAGCCCTGGTCCATTCACAGCAATCGGAGTAGCGGCCGAGATTTTGCAGATGAAAGGACTTCCCGGCACAGGCTCATTGTTGAAACGAACAGTGATTGTGTGATCGTGGACTTCTCGCGGAACAAATGAGATATCGTATCGATGTTGGCCAAGAGAGTTAGCCATTGAAGGAATTCTGCCTTCATTCACGGCAACCTAGAAGAAAGTGTTTAACTCCAAAGCTTTAACAAGTATTTGACGGGTATTTTCTTCCCTTTCCCCTTGTGTTTCTTCTTTCTTCTCTGCCAAGAAGAGACCGAATAGCTCGATGGTTAGAGCATCTGCCCGAAAAGAAGGTAGAAAGGAAAACGGTCGAGGGTTCAATCCCCTCTCCGGTCATCTTTATTTTACTTTACCTCTAGATTTCCGACTCCTGCTTCAGAGGCATCAACGACGAAATGAACTGGTTTATCAATTGCTCCAGATGGAATATTGCCGACTTTGATTTTTGCTGGATCATAAGCTCGACAAGTGAATGGACTTCCGGAAACATGTTGCCCAGCGGTTTTTACCTCGATCTCGTGATCACCTGGAAATGAGAAAATATCAAAACTATAGTAAGACTTTGATCTTTTAGACTTGCACTAAACTGTTATCTGCTTAATTTACAACTTGGTAGAATGAAACTCAAACATAAATCAAAAATAGTACTGAGATTTAAAAACGAACCAACAGCTTCCGGAATAAAAGCAATTTGCATGACTCCTGGATCAGTTTCTGTAACCTCCGTTGGCACTGTGATCTTTGTCCCGTCTAAGAAAATTTTGTTATATTGATTAGATAAACGCTAGAGTTCACAGACACACTGACTTAAGCTATCAAAGAAAGAAAGCTTACCAAAAGACCCTAAAAGAAAAGCATGATTATTTATAGTGAAAAAAAGAACTGTTTCCCAACCAGGAGCCGTTCTATAGACGTTGATCTCCAATTCATCTCCACCAGCAATTGTAATGAGAAGATGTGATGGTTGACCAACTCGAGACAAAGAAGGAATCTTTGTTACTGTCGTTTTTCCTAATGGAGTTGAGGCTCCTTTCTTGCCCTGAAATTGGTTGATTGTTGCAGGAAAGTCTATTATTGCTACTTTAGGTTCCTATACAAATATAGACAGTTTAAAGATGAAAAATTAGAATATAGCCTTTAAGAAAGTATCGTCGACTCTCGATACAATGATTTTGAAATTCTAAAATTTGGTTTCTGCGTAGCTGCCCAGCCAAACGAATCGTGGCCTTTTGGGCAAGTTTTAGAATCGTTAAATCGAGAGTTGACTGTACTTGTTTGTGCATTATCTAACAATAAGCTTTAAATTATTAATCTTCTACCTTTTTAGCGTCTTTCTCTCGTTTCAACGTCGCAACTTTCTCCTCTTTTTCTCTCTTAATTCTCTCTTTTTCTTCTTTTTTCCGTTCTTCTTCCAGTTTCTTCAACTCCTTCTTGGAGAGTTCAGGTGTTCTAAAATTCATTTTATAAAACTTTTACTCAATTTACGTACGCAATTGGGACGACTCCAACGGCTCCGGACGACGGCTCCGGTGGCACTCCTTCATCAGTGATATGAACTTGGAATGGACTGTCTAAAAGTGGATAACTTTTTGTCTGACAGTTACCAACTTACTTTTAAGAACCTCCTTATTGAAGGTAATATTCACGGTATGAGTTCCCTTAGTTGCTGGAGCAAAAGTGACCAAAAATTTCGCGGATCCAGTCTCTAACTGGGCGACATGTGATGGAATGATCACCCCATCAGCATCTTTAATCGCCATCTCCAAATTTCCAAAACCAGCTCGACCAGCGTCAACTAAAACTTCTTATTTATTCAGTTTTCATTTAAAAGTTTACCTGTAAATTCAACAGTGTCATTCAACTTTGAATGTGTTGGAATATCGCCAACGAGAATCTCTGAGGCATCATAGACTCGAATTGGGAATGGAGAGAGTGGATGCTGGATCTCATTCACGTAAGCAAAGACCTGCAAGGGTGTCAGTTCAAAGTAGTAACAATTTATATTGTAAAAAATTCAAAGTCCAATCCTAAAATTTACCTTATGAGTTCCGACATCGTTTGGCTTGAAAGTGATTTCGTACTTGCTGCCGCTTTTCTTCACCTTTGTCTCAATCTCGATCGGCTCCTCGCCTGGTGGTAAATGACGGACCGGAGCTAAAAGTAAGTATTAGGTTGAGTCTTTCAACCAAATTCATTTTCTAATTGAATGAAGTCTCAAGCTACCAAATGAAATACGGGTTTCTTGCATTAAATAGCCCAGTCATTTCTCTTGCTAATGACTTTTGAAAGTTTCTGAAAAGCTTTGTTTTGAAGATTTTTCATTGGCAAGAAACCGAGTGTTCAAAAATGACAAGGTCCAATGATGCGATTTGAGCCGTTTCTTCCAATTAAACCTATTTTGATGAGAAAGTAAAAAAGATAGTGCACAAAAAGTTAGGTCTACAACCACAAATTCAGAATAATCCGTTTAGCGGTTTTCTTTATGTACTCATTTTTAAAAATACCAGTTTTCGATTTCGCGGATTATTTTAAAATACTAAAAAATTGTTCAAAAATGACAAAAAGTAAACAAAAAACATTTATAATGAAAGAAAACGTTTGGTATTTAGCAGTTTGAGACATTTAGATAATGAAATAAAGGGTGCAAGACCTAATCCTCAACCTAATAAATACCGTATTTTCTCTAATGGTAGTGCACCCTGAGCGTCGCCTAAATTCCTCGAAATCTCGAGAACCGCTTATCAGAGCCTATCGATGTGGGATCGGAAAATGTAGCTGACGATGAGATCTAGTGGGGGGGTTTGAGTGTTGAGCTTCTGCAAAAGCTTGGAAAACGTAAAATAGTCACCAACTCGGCGGGATGCACTACTATTAGAGAAAATACGGTAACTTGACTTCTATTGCTATGAAATCCATTCATATTTCTTTTAAAACTCACGCATCACAACGACTCTCAACGTGTCATCTTTTCCAAGCTTCAATCCATCCAATTTCACGTCCACATCTTTCCCTCTCTTGATCACTTCGTGCTTTGAAGTGAACTTGCTCTTTCCAAAGTCGAACACTTTTCCATCCTTGTCTTTCTAAAATTACTTCAATTACAATAAATTAACAAACAAAAAGATAACAAATCCTTTTAGGAAAAGAAAATTAAAGCTTGGCAAAACAATTTGCTGAAGTTTGCTGAAGTAAACAATTGAGAACATTCAACCAAATCAAACAAAAACCTTTGCTTTCTTTCCGATCGAGGATTTCGGAGTGATTTTTGGTGTTGTTGGGGCAGATGGGGGTGGTGAATGGGGCATCTCCTCTTCCGGCATTAACACCTCCACTTCCAACTCCTCTCGTCCACGAGATAATGGAGATTCGAGTTGTGGTTGACCAAACGAAAATCGAACTCATTAAACCAAAGAAAAAATAGCTTAAAATTTCTTAACAAAACAGAAGTATTGAGGAAAAACAAAAAAGAAATTGACTCATTGGCTGTTTTTGTTAAACTTTTGTCACAAAACAATCTTTTCTAATTTTTAGCTAAAGAAAGCGAATGGATTTTATTTTTGCAACAAAATTAAAGGAAAACTAATTGAAGAAACTCAAATACCCATAACTCAAAGCAAAAGAAATTTTCAAATCCACTTCAATCACTTCTTAAACTTAAACAAAAGCAATGAAAACCAAGATTTAGCGCAATACATAGCCACACTCAGCTTAAACAATAGCTTTAGTTTAACTTTCAAAAATAAACTCAATCAACGAACTTGTTGTTTCTCGTGTGGAGCCATCGGTCGATGAGTTGCCGCCACTTCGATCACATCTCCCATTTCAGTCATCGGCTCTGGTGGGTAATCGATAGAAGTCCTGAAATCCAATAAAATCAATCTTAACCTTAGATAAAGTAGCTCAAACAAAATCTTCTCAAATCATACTCTTGTGTGTGTGCATCTCGGAAACGCGGGTGCATCATGCTGTCATTTGATCTGAAAACAACGCAAATAGTGATGGAGCAACTTAAGAATCACTTGAAATGTTCAAATTTTAAAACTAAACCTTTCATCGGTTCTCCTCAAATCTCCAATTGGTACATCAATGGCTCGATGTTGGTGTGCATCCTCTTGCTCATCCGGCAACAATCCATGTCTTCCCAAAATCCTCTCATCCTCCCGCTTGATTCTTTGCACCTCGGCTTCTCTTTTTGCTTGTTCCACCCATTCCTCTGTCTCCGAAGTTCTAATTTTGAAAATGAACAAATAAGAAGCAACTGATTTCAAAATGATTGGCAAAGCGTGATTCATGCACAATAAAAATAAAATCAAAGACAAACCTTGAGAGGCGGGGTTGATGAATTGGTTTCTCTTCATAAATGCTTTCTTTTTCCTCGCTTCGACGAAGACCTGATGGAGCTGTGGCATCCTGAAACTCAAGTTTATTTTGACAATCGGCTTCTAAAGTTCTTGAAAGCTATTTCTTTAAGTCTACTCTAAGCCTTTAAAGGCATGAACTCAAAGTAAAATTTTGTTTGGACACCTAGTGCAGTTTTGGCGTCAAAACGGATGCTTTAAAAGGCTCCTTCCTAGCCGAGAAAAGGCAAGTTGGTGTTGGCAAGTTGGTGACCTGGTCGATAATGCATTAGGTTTCCGCCCACAGAATCATGGTGCAGTCAACTTCTAGCAGCAACTTCTAGTATTTTGCAGCTAATTGCATTATGGCGGCTTGCAAAGTAGGAATTGGTTATTCAAGTTCCAAAAGCTCAGTTCGTGCCTTTCGCTACTTGGTTATTTTCTTGAAATGTAATGCAAACTTAAAATTGAATCTAGTTTTGATATCAAGTTTTTCATTTTGTAAGGCTTAAAGTTCGAAATTTCTCTGAATTCATTTCACCTTGATGATTTCCGATTGAGTTCTCATAAACCCAAGATCCGGAGCTCTCTTCTCATCGGTGGTTTTCGAGAATGGCCGTTCCTCTTCACTTTCTCTTTTGTGTAGATCACGATCCAGCTTTGGTGACATTGAGTAAGAGGCGACTCTGAAATTTTTTGCGTTAAACTTGCGAAGATTTGATTGGCAAATAGTCAAATTTAAATGGAGTTGGAAGGTCCTTTTATGTGCTGGGAATACAAAACATGATCGGCGCCGGGATTCAAACCCGCGACCTCTCGCTTACCGGGCGAGCACCCTACCAATGAGCTACCCGACACGTATCGCTGAGACCAGGGGAGAGCTTTATGCCTTTCTTAAGCTAACTTCAATAGTCTTTTCTCACCTCGTCGTCGTGGATTCTGTTGTGTAATCAGGCGTTGGATATCCGTCATAATGTGGTCTTGTCGGTGAAATCATTCGATCAGTTGTCCTTTCCTCATAAATATGTCCTCTTGGCCCATAAGTGCCCGATGATTGTTCATGAGTTCGGCCATATCCAGTAGGAGATGTGCCACTGAAATTCGAAGTTTAAATGATTTAGAAGAAGTTGGATTAGTGAAGCGCCAGTCAACTCTAGAAGGCTAGATTTGAAGGTCGAATTAGAAGATCTCAATAGCAAGCAAATTCCCGTTAAAGCGAAACTCAAAAGCGGTGTAAAAACCAAGTACAAAGCTTCTACCGGAAAGTGCGCTCCTCGACTTCGTAACTCGTGTAGAATGGCTGGGGATTATCGGATTCCTTTTCTTGATGAATAATCGATTCATCAAAGTCTTTTGGCGGTGTTTGTGGCCGTTGACGAGTAGCAAATGGAGTTGAAGTGGCGAATCCCATTTGGTGATGCTCTTCTTCCGGTTCTTGTGCATAGCTTAAAAGCATTCACTCGTGTCGGTGCCAAAAAAGAAATCAAAATTTCCAATCTTAAACTTAAAACAAAATGATGTGAATTCGAAAATGACAAAACTTTGGAAAGTTTTGGTTCAAAGGAAAACCTTTTTAAGCCAAAAAAAACAGCTCCAACTTTGGATTAAGAATTTAGATTAAAGTTTTAAACTTTACAAACAACAAGATCTGAATATTTTACCGTTCATAAACACTAGAATACATCGGAGACTCGGAACGATTCGCTTCAAAGTGATGCTCTTCATGTGGTTGCACTTCGACCCTTCTAAACAAGACAATCCACTCAAAAAAACAATCAGTGCTCATTCAAAAAAGCCACACTTTATTCAAACAAGCTTAAATCAAAAACAATAGCAAGAAAATGATTCAAAAGTTCTACCAACCTGGTGACCTTTGTTCTGCTGTAGTCGAGCTCTTCCGGTGATGGGTCTCGGTGCTTTTCGACGTGACCCGGTTCTCCATATTGAGCCACTGTATAACCAACCTGAAGATTTTTTGATGGTTTTGATAAAACAGAGACTAATCAACTAACAAATGATCTAATCATTGATTGGAATCGTTTTCAGTACAGTTTTGTACAGCTAACTACCAAATCGAGTTATATGAAAATCCATCGATCTCATGGTTCTCATGTTCTCAAATTGTATTCCCATTCGAGCAAATCTCATCGTTGAATTCATCAAGCTCACTACTTTTTTTAAACTACTCTTCTAAACAAAAGTTTTTCTCACTTTGCCAGTATCCCGCTCGTAATCAATCGGTGGAATCCGGACTCTCTCCTCAGCCAACGGTTCGACTTTCTCAATTCGTCGTATCTTTTCCCCGACTTGTGGTGATCCAGATCTATATCTTTAGCTTAAAAGTATTATTTTCCCAAAAAAACCGATAGGGTTGTTGTTCCATATACTGATTAGATCCCCTTGGAGCATTGACGGTCGATGAAGAGCTCTGTTCCAGATAGGCAGCTCCTGTTTGTGGGGAACCCGATCTTTTGAGAATTCCGTATGGAGATGTTGGACCAGATGAGCCAGCTAAAATAAAGGATAAACAGTTTCCATTCATTGAACTCACTTCTTGAGTCAACTCTTTGAGTGATTGGGCTTTGACTCGTGATTCCTTCAGCCCAGCCTTGACGCGGAGAATCGAAGCCTAAGTTGTTAGCTATTTGTTAGTTAGCTTTGTTGTTTTGTTTGTTAGCTGAACTTTAGCAAGGCAGATCTTGAGTCTCGCTTTCTCCTTTTGCGTCAATGTCTTTCAATTTTCAATTTTTTCAAGACTCACTCGCTTTCTCTCTTTCCATAGTTGTAGACGGTGAGGTTGCATTGAGATCTCGTTGTGGAGAGAACGAGTGAGAAGTTCTTGCACCAGTTGGTGCATATGATCTCTCCCATGGTTTCGATGGGCCTTCATGTCGATCAAATCGACTTCTCGGTGATCCGACATCTTTGAGAAGAGTGGCGCTACGGATATCGGATCCTGATTGGGACACAGGATCGGCTGATCGAGTCCGAGTTTCTCGGAGTAAAGTTGGCGACGTTGGAGAGGTTGGACCGGAACCTCGAGAAGCATATCCACCAGCGATACCTAGAAGTTGAACAAATTGTTGAATTGATGGATAAGTATTTCATTCATGACCAGATAAAGTCAAGTACTGCCTAGTCGTTAACGATTGAAATAAGTTCTTCACTTCATTCGCTCATTTCACGATTCACCCAAATCCCCTTCACCATTTTCAGCTCGTCCTCTCACCTATACTGTGTAGTTGTAAATGTACTCGTACAACTCGTACAACTCTTACATTTTCAACTGATTCATCGTCACAATTGATCATGACACTTGCATTTCCCTTTTCATTTCTTTCCACACTCTTCACTCTTCTGATTTCCCACCAAAACAACCGGTTTTCCACCGATCACATATATGGAGATGAGCAAAAAGGGAAAAAGTGTCAGAACATGTGTACACTCACACAAAAAGACAGACAACACAAGCCAATAAAGTCTACCAATTGAGATGGGTCAAGGAAATTAATTTATAGATGACTTTTGTCCAATTGAATAGTGCTAGATTCTAATTCTTAGTTTCTTTTTGATTTTAAATATTGTGAAATTATATTTAAAGAAAAGTTCCTTGTTGTTCTAGGATTCCAGAGATTATTCCTATCACAATCGAAACTCACTGACACTTTTGATAACTTGTTTTCCCCTTATCACTCGCATGGCGAGATGGCCGAGCGGTCTAAGGCGCCAGTTTAAGGCACTGGTCTCTTCGGAGGCGTGGGTTCGAATCCCACTCTCGTCAGAAACTTTTTCCTTTTTCAAACGAAAGCATTCATTTAAGCTAAACGATAAACTGTTGTTTTTCTTTGATTTTTTTCAATCACCTGTATTGAAAGTGGTTCTTGTCGGTGATGAGGTTGGTGAATAGCCGGATAAAGGAGCCGCCACTGCGGTCCCGACTTGTTTCGGCAAAATGTCGACTTTGATTGGACATCCTAGAATTAAATTTGATATTGATTTAATTGAATAGCTTTTTAAGTTTTATAATCGAATCATTTCCCTTTTTATTGTAAAAAAAAATGCTGTTGAAATTTCGGAACAAAGAAACTCGAAAAGTCGTCAATTAACGAGCAAAAAAGATGGGTGAAAAGATGAAAACTCAAGGGTTTCCAAGGGAAAAAGTCGAGCAAATATTTTCGTGTTTTTTGGGGAAATTCTTGGAACACTTTTCAAATGGATGGTATCGATTTTTGGCAAATTAGATAAAATCTAAAGATTTGCAAAGAGAAATGCTGCAAAAGTTGAAAATAAGTGAATTCACTTTAAAGAACAACAAATTATAAGTAAAATTTAAACACTTAACTTTTTTTTGAACTATTCAAACTAATCAAAGATCGTTTCAAAATTTCATTTTACATTTCCCTTCCCATTTTTTTTCTGCCAAATTTTCTTCTGCGACTAGCCACTTTCCCCCAAAAGAAAAAAAAAGTGAAGAAAAGGCCATAAAAAGCTCGACAAAACGAGTCCATCAAACTTTTTTCTGTCATGAAAACATTAAAAGATTGAGAATTTCCACAAAATCGAAAGCAATTTGAAACTATTGGAAAATGAGATGGGTTTGAGTGTAAAAAAATGATTTAATGATTGATGGGAATCAAAAATTTGAAAATTTCTTTTTGTTCCGTGTGATTCGATTGGGAAAATGGCAGGAAAAAGTTTTGATTTCAATTTTTGAGAGTCGGTTTTAAACATTTTAAAAAAGGGAATGAAAAATTCTAAAAAAACAAGTGGAAATCAGTCAGGAAACAGATAAAATAGCGATAAAACTTTTATGAAACCAACCGTGAACGGGTTCTCCATTGAAAGTGACATCGATCACGTATTGACCCGGATGTTGCGGGATGAATGTGACCAAACATCTGAAAAAATCGATTCATTGTTTGGCTGATGGACAAGTGAAAAGGATTTGGGTTCTATTTTGAATTCCGAAAGCAATTTTCACTCGAAATATTGAGTCTTTAAGTATAAAGTATCGCTATTTTGCTATGGTTCTTTTTAAAACTCTCAAATTTCACCGTTTAACTTACGATTTGCTTTATTAGAAATATTTTTCGTTTAAATATTGTCATTTTAAAGTATATTTGAGTCTCGTTCAAAGTAATCTTGAGAAAAATCCTCATTTTTTTCTGAGTTTTAAACAAAACCATGACAAAAAATAGGTCATACTTACAGATCCAATAATTACTAAGTTTACCTAGTAAGTTTAAGTTTATAAAAGTTAAAGAAGATGAGATAAAAGTCTTTTCAATCGTCAGTTACAATTAGAAACTATTTTTTTCAATCTTAAAAAAGACCATTATTGACATGTTTTGAGTGCACTAGATTAAGCAATTTGAATGACAGAAGCGGCTATTTGAGTGAAACTTTTCATCCCGAAAAACGTGGCGAGATGGCCGAGTGGTCTAAGGCGCCAGTTTAAGGCACTGGTCTCTTCGGAGGCGTGGGTTCGAATCCCACTCTCGTCAGAAACTTTTTGCTTTTTATTGCTCTTACTCCAAATTATCTTTAGGCCTCAAGACTACGATCAACTTAAATTCAGGCTGGTTTTGTCAAAGTCGCAATCTGAATCAATTCTGAATCACTTTATTCCCCTCTCATTGCCGATTTAGTGCTTGGTTGGTGGTTTCAATGTCGGGCAGGGCAGCAACACGAGTTCGGGAATTCCCTTTCCGCCCGTCCTTTCCCACTCTCGGCAGCACAAAACTCTCACTCTCCAAACACGATTAGCATGTCCTGTCCGTATTGGAGAAAAAAAGGGAATTGGCATCGAGTTGTCCCGATCATTCTTTCCCTCATCTCTCTTTTTTCTCTTCTATAGCCACCCACCAAACAGTCTCGATCATTCACCCAATACATACAAACATGGCTCAAAAATGAGAGGTAATCGAGAATAGATTGCGAGTTTAACTATTTTCGAGTTGAAAATCAATTGGTACACTGATTACTAGGTTTTTAAAAGATTTGTAATTATAATAGCTTAAAAATCAACTCATCAAACATAAAACTAAAAGAAAAATCAATACTAATTGATTATTAGCCAAAAAATTGATTGAGTAGTTATTTGAGTAGTTTTATTGAAATACTAATTGATTATTAGATTTTAGAGCTTAAGCAATAGTTCTCAGCTAGAAAATCATTGAAATAACATTTTTATCAGCCTTGCCAGTTTCTGAAGTCAAAAAATGATAAACTTCGTGAAATCTAATGCAATCAAATGCTTTGTTCTTTGTGGTATAATAATATTATAATGTAATATCCTATTTTTTCATATTACTTGATTAATTTGACTTGTTTAAACTTTCTCTCCCACCTGCCAGCTCCTTGCATCTGCACATTGTTCGGCACTCTTCCCTGATTCACCGAGATTTCCAATTGTCCTTTGCCCGCTTCCACAGCATCAACTGCAGGTACAACATACAATTGGGAATAATAGTTAAGTGTGCCAGCGTGTGGCTCTCTTCTTTCAACCCTTCTCGTCTCTTCAACTGTTTCCACCACTTCCCCATGCGCATTTCGGTCAAAAGTTTCTTTTTTGACTGTTTCAACGGTTTCCTCTAAAATAAGTCTCCCAGGCGAACGGGGAGATAAAAGACGAGGAGTTGATGAGTGACCAGTGGAAGCAGTTCGGATATGGAGTGGCTCAGAGACCAGGGATTGTTGGTCCGTCATCGTCCACAATGTTTTAGAGGAGAATCAATTTGAGAGGTGAGAGGCAGATTGCCCGAATACGGCTGTAACTATTGAGGTGATTGGGGAGAAAAGGAGATGGGAAAATGAGAGAAAAGTGAGGGGGAAAAGAGACCGGTTGGGTAAAGAGAAATTGACGTTGCGGTGAGAGAGCGAAATGCAGAGAGAAAGGATGATGTGAAAGATTGAGAGTTTAACTTTACAACTTTAAAAGTAATTTCTATTCGGCTAGCCAAGCCAGGGTACAGAAAATTTTGCAAAAATCACTTTGAAAGCTAGTTTAAACGTCGATAAGCATTCAAAAACCACTTTTTTGATATTTTTTCATTGCCAAGCCTCGGCTTTTCTTGTTTTACTTGAGAATTTGATAGGAATATTTAGATTTGATTATATTTGATTAATAAAAAATTTGATAGAATCTAGATAAAGTAAAAGAAAGAAAGAAAAGCTTAAAATCTAGAAAATCTAGAAAATCAAGAGGTTTTTCAAGTAAAAGTAAACAAAATGAAGATTTAAAAAAGTTAGCAAAGAAATCTTTTGCCTGTTTCAGTAAGCCATTAAAGCAGAGAGAAAATTTTCACTGCTTTAGTTAGAGAATTTGACAGAAAACTAGAGACAACAGCTTTTTCACTTAAAAAGATATAGAAAGAAATTGAAAATTTTTCTTGAAACAGTTTGAGAAATGAGATTTTCAAGGAGAGAAATTTCCAGGGAGAAGAAGAAAAATTGGGGAACACTGCTGTGCCGAAGAAATGCGCAAACTGTAAATAAGAGAAAAGAAAAAGGATTTCAGGGGGAAAGTGCAGTAAACAATTCATCGACCCAACCCACCCAATCCTTTCAATCAAATCTTGGGGATAGGATTCGCAGAGTTATTGTAAAGGGATAGGTAAGACGGGAGAGAAAAAACCGCAAGGCTGTTTTCGAATTCAAAACAATAACATTGAAGAGTTCGATAAAGCTCTTGGGGTAGTTAAGAGTTCAGGAAAGTAAGTTTTTGATTCTGAAGGCTGAAAGAAGGCTGAAAGTAAGATTAGACAATCCTGCTTGATTTTTGTTTCTCTTATAATCAAAACAAAGACAGGTTTGGGAATTTTGAGCTTTGATCTTGCTTCTTCGGGTTCCAAAACAGTTCTGATCTTTATTCAAATCTTTATGGATCCAACTAAATCTAAATCTGGAACAATTTTGATGAACTCTCAATTTATGAGTTCTGATCTTTATTCAAAACTTTATGGATTCAGCTAAATCTAAATCTGGAACAATTTTGATGATCTATCAATCAACTTCTTACAGTAAGAGTTTCATCATCCTTTTCAGTTTTCAAAACTGATCTAATCAAACTTATGCAACTAATTCTACATCTGGAGAATATTGAAAGCTCTAGTTTTCAAAATCAAGAACATTCAAGATGTTATTAGTAAGCTTTTAAGTTTGAAAACTTGCAATTCTTATATTTCAGAACAGGTTGTAATTCATTTAGAAACGATTTGTTCATATGAAATCAGGGGGTAGGCTAGTTTCCGCAATTTTTTTTTTGGGCAACTGAGTCGTTTGCACAACTCGCCATAACTTTCTTTCTAAGTGGACCAATATTTATGATTTTGGTGTCATTTTGTTGCACTTATTGAGATCTACAAAATGACATCAAAAGCATAAAGATTGGCCGACTTAGAAGAAAGTTATGGCGAGTTGTGCAAACGACCCAGTTGCGCAAAGGACCCTGTTGCGCAAAAAGAATTGCGGAATCTAGCCTACCCCGAAATCAGAAATATCAGAAATTCAAGAAAGCGTATGGTTTGAAAGCTAAAGCAAAACTAGAAGATCTTTTCAAAAATTTTGTTTCTTTCTACAGCGCAATTCTGTTTTGTGGTGGAAACCCTTGAATAGGTTGATCAGAAAGCCACCTAAGGCACTCGACCAAACAAAAAGAAAAAGACTCACCGACGAATTGAACGGGTTTCCCCGGTTCTCCCCCACCAAGTGGCTCCAGACGCACTTTTGAGGCCGAATATCCGGCCACCGCCAATGGACAACCCTCGACTTTCTTCCCGGCTATCCACACGTTCAACTGGTGTTCTCCAACCTGGAGAATTTAGGTGTATCTTGGTAGATTCTTATTTATTTTACACTAAAGCTCTACAACATATAACTCACTATTTGAACATCTTCTCTCAGCTTCTTAAGTTTAAAATTTCATTTTATTCTTTTCGATTTGTTCTTTATTAATTAATCACAAAGGAATTTCAAACATTTTTTGACGAAAACAACGCCGAATTTTTTATTTTGAAACCTCCAGCTGGAAGGAAAGAAGGAAAAGAAAGGTAAATTCAATTCGAAGGTCATGATGTTTACCAAGAGATTTTCAAGGGTTTCTGCTGAGAATCACAATTTCGGGAATCTTTTTACAAACCTTTTCCACCCGATACTCGGCTCGGAATCTTCCTGCAGTGCCTTTGGAAGTGATTCGGATTGGATGCTCTCGACCATCAGGGCCTGGAAGATTGGAATCAGGTTTGTAAGCAAAAAAATTGAATATCTTTTGATTTTCAAAACAAAACCCAACGGATGGCAGCTACGCACTGCGACGGAAAAAACGGAAAAACGTAGCTGCCCTATTTGTTGAATTTTTCTTTAAAAATTAAAAGATATTAAGTTTTCTGCCTGCAATCCTGATTGGAACTGATTTCTCATTCAAAGATTCAGCACTAGGTCAGACCAGATCAAAGTCAGACTAGATTGTAAAGGTTGTAAGTCAGGTTGTAAGTCAGACCAGATCAAAGCCAAGCAAATCTACAGGCAAGTACAGACTAGCCGTACGACAATTCCAATCCAAACCTAATTCCACCTTTGTTTTCTTGACCGATTGTTCTGTCTACAGATAGAAATCAACATTTCCAGCTTGTAGACAAAATTTCAGAGCAATCGGCCAAGAAACAGCCGAGAAAACGATGGTGGAATTAGGTTCAGCTTGAAATTTTCTGTCTAGTACAGTCAAAACCATTACCTGGACTGGACTAGATATGTAATCTAAGACTTACTTGTGATCTTTGCCTCAATATCGTTTAGCTCAAGCCCTTCACCAGTGATATCGAAATTGGTGAACTTGTCAACTGGTGCTCGAACGAGACCCGCTCCAGAAAGCTCTGAGTAGTAGGACATTGCTCTAAAGTTGTTCAATTTATGAGTTTACAAAGATTTAGATGTTTCACTTCTTAATATTGATTTAGTATCTTAAGAAGTACCTCTCTGGATGTGTCTTCCGTCCGATTGTGCCTCGATCTCCATCAGCATCGATTCGCCAAGGAGAACCGCGAACACCTGAACACTTGAAGCTTTAAAAGCTACAAGAAAATGATCTTTAGAAGCTGATCATTATCTTTAAATTGAGTTAAATGTTTGAAAAACGTTGAATTTGCTTTCATTTGACTTGAAATGAAATTTTCTATAAAATGAAAGCAAATTCAAAGCTTTTCAAACAAATCCGGTTAAGATACGAGCAAAATTCGTAGATTGCCAATGGCAAACAGACCAGAGTTAACATGGCTGATTTCTACAACTTGATTCAAAATTTAGCTAATGTACTTATTCAAAAGACACAGCAGAGCATACAATAGCTTCGTTAAGCTGGTTTATCAGCAATAGCAATCGCTATAAATTAATGGCAAACAGGTCAGAGTTAACATGTTAAAAGCTACAAGAAATGTTCTTTAGAAATTGATCATTATCCTTAAATTGAGTTAAAGCCTCACTTTCTCCATTGAATCGCATCTCGACAGTGTGCGTGATTGATTCAGTTGGGGTAAAAAGCGCTAAATATTGTCGAGAACCGAGATCCCGGACCTGAAATTGAATATTAATTGATTGATTGAATTGATTTTTGTAAATTATTACCTCCTAAACCATTCTCTTATGAAATCTCACCTCTTTTAGGTCAAAAAATTGCTTAATCATTGAAGAAAATTTCGAAATGAAATAAAATGGGGTCAAATTGAGTGGATCCTTGTTGAAATATGAGGGATCTTTGTCAAAATCTTTGTCTTTTTCTTTCTTTTTCTTTTTTCTCATCGACTTACCCTACACGGCACTCGCCCTCCATTGATCATGATCTCGAGATTTCCCGATCCTGCAGCCGATGCGTCGACTAAATAAATTAAATAAATAAATTCTTGAGGCTTTCAATAACTAAATGATTTTTAAACTGAATCACTTACAGTTTTTATTATATTCTTAGATTTCTATCATTCCTTAGATCCGTTTTGGTCCTTTTTTTAGTCCATTTGCCGTTGTTATTGCGATTGCTGATAAACCAGCTTAACGAATCTATTGTATGCTCTGCTGTGACTTTTGATTAAGTACATTAGCTAAATTTTGAATCAATCAATCAATCAGCCGCTTTGGTCTGTTTGCCATTGGCAATCTACGAATTTTGCTCGTATCTTAACCGGATTTGTTTGAAAAACGTTGAATTTACTTTCATTTGAATTGAAATTAAATTTTCTATAAAATGAAAGTAAATTCAAAGCTTTTCAAAGAAACCCGGTTAAGATACGAGCAAAATTCGTAGATTGCCAATGACAAACAGATTGATTGATTGAAGCGGCTGATTGATTGATTCAAAATTTAGCTAATGTACTTAATCAAAAGACACAGCAGAGCATACAATAGATTCGTTAAGCTGGTTTATCAGCAATAGCAATCGCTATAAATTAGAAGTATAGACCATACATACTGTATGATGTTCTATCAGATCTTTTATCGCTGTCTCGATCTTTCCAACTCATCTGTCTAAAGTCTTAATAATTCAAATGCTAAATCATTTGACTGTAATATGAGTACTTTCAAAAATCTTAGCTAAATCCAGTCCTTATCCTATCTACAATTTTCGTTAAAGATTGGAAAGCCAAAGCTACCATTGACAAGCGTTTTTATCCGATGCATTGAGTTGTGATTGATTCAGAAATTAATTATAATTAAACATGCTGAAATGAAAAAGGAAATTTGAATTGGTAAAAGGGCTTTCAAAGACGAAAAAGTCATAGATGGAAATGAAAAAAAAAAAGTGAAGAGTCACTTACAATGGTCAAGCAAACAATCTAACTTTATTTGACTAAAGAAAACGTTTATTTCTTTGTGAGTTTTATTTAGTTTATTTGAAATTTCAATTTCGAATTGAACTCTCGACTTTTTGAGTTATGAAGGACTATTGGAGTTGACTAAATATCGAAATTTGATTGTAAAAACTGGTTTGCAATGAAGTAAAGGCTTGCCAAAGTGGTTCTCTTTTTCTATTTTCTGTTTCTATTCGAAATCAATTTGTTAAAAGTTTTGAGAAAATAGTAAATAGAAAATTGAGAGATTTTTATGGATAAACTTTGAAATTCAAAAAAATTTGGTTATATTTTTGGATGCTTACAGTCTTCCAGTACTTTTTATGGGAATTCTATAGTTTTAGGACTATTGGAGTTGACTAAATATCGAAATTTGATTGTAAAAAGTAACAGTTAAATGGTGTACTTGATTTTTAAGAGCCTTTGACGGGGACAAAGGGTGGGACAAATGCGACCTTTTTTTTGCGCACCTGGACATTTGCGCACCTTTTTTTTTGCTGGAAAAGGCCTTAGGAAAGGTCGTAGAGCTTCAAAAATGTTTTCATAGAAGGGAATCGTATGCGTAGATTCCGAATTTCGACAAATCAGACCTCGCTGACACGTCAAATTTGGGCTAAAAGGCAAAAACTACGCAACTTAACGCTTTTCCGCAGTCTTTTCTTTTCCTTTGACAACCTATTCCAGGATCTTGAGTTAAAAATGAAAAATAGAAATCAGGTAATTGTTTAAAGAAGAAATATTTAGCTTCTTTAAGAAATTAGAGTAATTTTTAAAAAATTAAATTATTAGGTTGATGCAAAAGTCTTTTTCATTTTTTTCGTACTTCTTTTGAAAAATAACAAAGTCATCAATTAACCTATGGTTTGCTCTAAATGAAAAGTGTTTATTGTTCAATTTCCCATCTTTTTAAGTCAATTTGGGTTCACTTTCAAGCAAATTCGAGAGTGAAAACGGGTTTTTCATAAAAATCTATAAAAACCTCTATAAAGAAATTGGCTGAATCAATTTCTCTGAAAATCTGAAAAAATATCTAACTTTTTGTGCTCTATCTTTTATTTATTAACATCAAGATTGGTTTCCTTAGCTAAAGCGTCTAAAATGCATCATCGAGCCGTCGCCTTTTTTGACTACCCGACTTCAGGCTCTCAAAAAAATCTAGACATAAGACATTTTAAACTCGTTTTAATGTCGTTTTGCAGAAAAATAATTGGCCTTTCGAATGCAATAAACCGTTGTTCAATTGGTGCATTTTTTAACGGAAGTACGAAAAAAATGAAAAAGACTTTTGCATCAACCTAATAAACAGTAGATCCGTTCGGAAATTCTTCCGATAAAGTTTATTTCCCACTCAACTTTTCGGTATATAAACCCTCCTGTGCTTTAATAAATATTCTGCCTGAAGCAAGGGATATGGACACATCTTATCCCGAACAAGATCATTAAGACCAAAATTTGTTTGAAGAATTGAAATTAGAAAAAAAATACTTTGGACAAGCTATGTTTTCAGAGCCAAACATTGATCTCTCTGTCTCTCTTTCATCGGATAAACAAAAAAAAAAGAATTTCGAGATCGGTAAATAAAGAGAAAAGAGGAAAAAAAGAGATTGAACTGGTTATAGGCACAAAAAAAAATTCTCGATGATTTCCCTTTCAACGTTTCAACTACTGAATTCTCATAATAACCGAGTTGGGGAGCAATAATTCGTCTTTTTTTTCTCTTTTTATTCGATGAAATCTAGTTTTTCTGTGAAACTCATTCAAATGCCAATTGGTTTGACGAGTTTAAACTTACTAGGGATTCTTTTGAATTCGTCACAGAGTGCCCATCTTGCAGCTTTTGATGCTGATTTCAAAAAGCTACCTCATTTCTGTGTTTTTTTTCTTTTACTTTAACTTTAATAAGCAGAATTTAAAAAAAATAAAGATCCTTGGGGAATCGAACCATCGAAAAAAGGGAAGGCAGAGTTTTATGATACAAGCACACTATCCACTAGGCCACGAAATTTTAGGAGCGCGTATTTTATGATTTTAATGGCATCCGAGACGAAATGGGGTCCAATTTTCAAACATGTTTTGGAAAAAAGTAAAACGGAAAACATAGAAACTATCTAGTCTTTTGAAATCAGCATTAAAAACTCTATAAGAACATGGGCTCAACTCAGTGGCGAATTCAAAAGAGTTTTTCTAGGAGTTTTTGAAAAATGGCTGTGAATCAAGTTATGATTTCAGAGCCAAACGTTGATCTCTCTGTCTCTCTTTCATCGGATAAACAAAAAAAGAATTTCGAGATCGGTAAATAAGGAGAAAGAGGAAAAAGAGGTTGCTTGCTTGCTTGTTTTCAATAGTTTTCTTATTATGATCCAGGAAAGGTAAAGATGAAAATCTTTTCTGAATACTTACTTTCAAAGGAAAGATCCGTGTGCATATCAGTGTCTCTGATTCGGCGAGGCATTGATCGAATTGAGACTCTCTCCGGATCGCCTACATTGCATACAAATGGACCATCGTAAACACTTTGACCATAAAGACGTACATCTACCGAATGTTCACCTAAAGTTACAAGAAATTTACACTGTATGCTTGTAACAATTGTATTTCTAATAGTAGCTTTAATAGTAGCTTTAATTTTAGTTCAAACAAACCAGCTTCCGATGGTTTCCATTCGATTCGATAAGAGCCATCATCCACTGGGAGTACACGACCAAATTTCGTCGCACCAGTTGGTCCTGTAGCTTTTGATTTCAATAAAATTACAGTATAACAATTACAGGTATAACGCTAAGACTTATTTAAGTTTAAAGAATATTATTTTTAGAATCATTAAGCTCATTTTCTATTGTCATTAACAAAAAGTTCATTTTGAACTTTGAATTTTGAACTTTAAACATGAATCTCAACATTGAAAGCCATTTCAAAAACAAATAAACTTATGCCCAAAGCATTGATAAACAAAAAAAAAAAACAAAAACTCACAAGTAATCGCTTTTCTTGTCGTTGTGTGTAGAACATAGAAACATTGACGAGACGGACGGACGATTGATTTCTTTTTGAGGGGACAAAGAACTTAGGACCAGACAGACACACAAATGTATAACAAAGATACAAACAATTGCATTGACATTAAAGAAAAACAACAAACCTGTAATCGTAACAGTGATATCTTTCGGTTGAGCGCCGATTGCGTGAACACTGAAAGTGGCCGGGCGACCGACTGAAGCCATTCGCAAATTCTCCCCATAGACAGACACCGAACTCGCGTCCGCGATGTCCAATAGGAATGGAGATCCTGAATTTTATGGATTACTAGCTGAAGCTTTACGTTTTAGGCTTTAAAGTTTCTTAGCTCTAACCTTTAACGTCCATCTTGTTAAATAAAACGTGGATCTTGTACTGTCCAGCGCCGTCAGGAATGAATGTTGCCGTGTATAGCTGAAATTCAAAGCTTATGCTGTAAAATTGAAATTCTAGTAAATAAAACTGTAAAATCATATCAACTAGAGTTGAACCTCGTTAGTGAACGATGGAAGGGATCTCAACCGTTCACTATCGAGGTTCGACTGTATCTTTTTAAGCCAATTTCGGTTAGCAAAACAATGATCCCCTGGACGACATGTTTCACCGGGATGAACGGGAAACAATGTGAATTGATAATATTGGGTTGGTGAAAAAGTCTTATGTTTTCTGTTTTCGTACTTCTGTTTAAAAATAACAAATTCACCAATTAACCTATGCTTTGCTCGAAATAAAAAATGTTTATTGTTCAATTTGATAAAGTTGAGGGGCCACTTTTTTTTCTGCAAAACCGCTTTTTCTGGGGGTAGTTTTATGCGTAGATTCGGAAAAACACAGCTTGGGAAAAGGCATTTTAAGCTAAGTTTCGGGGCTCTTTATCAAAGAAAATCGATGAAACTTTTTAGAAAATTGAGTCTTAAAAAAAGACTTTTGCACATGACTGTATTAGGCTTTCCAGAAAGTCTTTTCTTTCCTTTTCGTACTTCCGTTCAAAAATAACAGCTTCACAGATTCAAATAAACCGTAATTCAATTGGTGCATTTGTTGGTTTTAAACGGCAGTACGAAAAGACTTTTTGAATAGCCTAATAGTACCAATTTCCTTCAAAATAAATTAAAAGACTTTTGCACATGACTGTATTAGGCTTTCCAGAAAGTCTTTTCTTTCCTTTTCATGAAAAATAACAAATTTATCAATTAAACTATGATTTATACTCTATTTAATAGAAATACTCTATCAAATATAACATGTGTGCATGTAATATTGACCGCTTGAGTTTTCCTTGATTTGTGGAGTCACTGTTTAACCTTCTGTGTAGCTTTGCTATTAGAATTCTATGAAGGGTTAGTATTAGGCTTTCCAGAAAGTCTTTTCTTTCCTTTTCGTACTTCTGTTTAAAAATAACAAATTCACCAATTAACTTATGCTTTGCTCGAAATAAAAAATGTTTATTGTTCAATTTTCCATCTTTTTAAGCCAATTTCGGTTCACTTTCAACCGAAATTCAAGAGTGAAAACACATGTTTTTCGTAAAAATCTATAAAAATCTCTACGAAGAAATTGGTTGAATGAATTTCTCTGAAAATTTCGCTATATACCAAACGTTTTGTGCTCTATCTTTTATCTATTGGCACAAAGATAGATTTCCTTAGCTAAAGTGTCTAAACCGCATCATCGAGCTGTCGCCCTTTTTGACTTTTTCGTAAAAATCTATAAAAATCTCTACAAAGAAATTGGTTGAATGAATTTCTCTGCAAAATTTCCCTATATCTTCTTTAAATCAAAACAAACTTGTGCTCTCGATTGTTGTTCTAAAGTGGCAGCAACTGGACGACCGTGACGAAGAACGGAAACCTAAAAAAGTGACCTTTGTCTTCTAAATTATATCAAAATACAAATTAATAGATTGTATTTTAAAGAAATAACATCCTAATCTTCTAAGAAACAAAAAATTCAGTGCTCTGGAAAGAAGGTGTTTCTAAAAAATAGTTCCACGAAATCTCGAGCATATCAAAAATCAATTGATATGGAAATGGGTGGTGGTTGTTTATGGGGGGAAATTCTTGGGAAGATTTTCGATAGTGACCTTCAATTTGGGGGAAACAAAACGATAGCTCACCTCCCGGGCTCTCACTAATTCACTTTACTCTTTCCCCCAAATCCATTTCGGGGACTCGATCAGTCACAAGTGATTTATCTGATCACAAAGTTGAAATGAGCAAGTAATTGAATGGTTTGGAATTTGGGGCTAAGGTTTAAACTGACGGGAACTCTGAGAATTTGGGCTTTTTTCTAGGTCTCACGAAGTTTGTATGACAATCTGCAAGAGTATTGCCTTATAATATGTACTACTATGGACACTTTATGTATATAATATATGAATAGTTTTATAATCTTATGTGTAAGTTGATGACTGTACTACGATAAACACTGTATTAGGCTTTTCTTCAATTTCACCAAAGTGAGCTTGGCTTTTTTCAAGCCCAACTGTGCTTTCAATTTGGTCTTAATCTAGAAACTGACATCAAGAATAAGATGGATTACTCAAAAAGAGATAAACTTGATAAAGAACTATTATTTACTATTTGTTATTACTTGATAAAGATAAGAAAATTAATAAAGATATTAATAAAGATATAGATTAATTAATAAAGAACTATTGCTTGATAAAGATATGAAACTTGATAAAGAACTATTCTTTATTATTTACTATTAACTATTTACTGAACCTAAAAAGAATCAGCAATTATGGAAGAAAGCACAAGATCGAAATCCGGATATACCGTATTTTCTCTAATAATAGTGCACCCTGAGCGTCGCCTAAATTCCTCGAAATCTTGAGAACCGCTTATCAGAACCTATCGATGTGGGATTGGAAAATGTAGCTGACGATGAGATCTAGTGGGAGGTTTGAGTGTTGAGCTTCTGCAAAAGTTTGGAAACCGTAAAATAGTCACCAACTCGGCTCGAAGGGGTGCACTACTATTAGAGAAAAGTGATATAGTTTAAGATAAAAGATCTGGCTAAAAAATAAGTTAACAAACACATATCTTGCATCATTAGCATGCAAATATTTTCAAAAAGATCCGTTGATACCCAAGCTAAAAATGAAATCCAAAAAACGAGCTCAACTTTTTACTATAGGCTGGTGATAAAGCGTCTAGCGAGAGATGAATAGATTGATACCATAATGGGAAAAGGAGAAGTAAAGGAATAGGAGAAAAAGGCCAGAGGGAGCTCTTGCATTTCTTGTTGGGGGATGAGAAAGAGTGGTCAGTCTCTCTGTTCTGTGCTCTGTCAATCCCCTCCCCCCAACCCGCGAATCCCCAAACTGAAGGTCATCCGCGCTCCTCTCAACCAGCAACTAGCACACCTTTAGGGATCTCTACCACTTTTCTTCTCTTTTCCCAAAGTGATGCTCATTCTACGCCTTCGAACATTGGGAATATAATTGGAAAGAATTTCTACCCACTATCAAACAATGATATCTTCAATAATTGAGAATTAAAGTGAAAAAAAGAACCTTTATTCTTTAAATACAAACTGCTGGCTAGGGATGATTATTTTTAATTAAATTTTAAAATTAGAATAAAGAAACAGTCAATAATCAAATGAAATAGTTAAAACGAGTTATTGCTTTTGATTTAAAAGCAAATTTGAACAATTTTCAGCTCAATAGCCTTTAAAGTCTTCAAAAAGATCTTTAAAATTTCAATGGACACTCAAAAAATTCGAAAATTCAATTGAATCTCTTATAAATTCTTATAAACAAAGTATCATTTACAAATAATCAAATGAAATAGATAAAACGAGTTATTTCTTTTGATTTAAAAGCAAATTTGAACAATTTTCGGCTCAACAGCCTTTAAAGCTTTTAAAAAGATCTTTAAAATTTCAAAGAAAACTCAAAGAATTCGAGAAATCAATTGAATTTCTTATAAATTCTTATAAACAAAGTATCATTTACAAGAAACCGGTTAGAAAACGCAAATTAGCCATTTCAAAGTTGTTTTTTTTCTTGGCAAAGAGAGATTTTCAATTCAAAAAACGGAAAAGGGTAACAAGATTCTCCAAAAATTCGACGAGAAAAGGAAAACAAAAAAAAAGATTTGGGAATTTTTGGGGTTTTTCTCAGATTCAGCGACACACCCTTTAAGAGATTCGGGTTGAAAAATGGCAAATTATTGGTATTGATCTTTTCAATCGCAAAAAGGGAAAGCTATAAAGTTTCACTAGCACAAAAAGCTAACAATCTTTTAAAACTAGAAATTTTATTTTAAAGTAGACTAGGTAACTTAAAAAGGATGGTGACAAAGAATTATGGAGACATCTGAATGCTTCATATATATCTATAAAATCTAGACAAATCTCACTAATGCACCAACTTTATACATCTTTTGAAGTCTCGTTTAAATAAATATATCAATACAATTTACTTGGGAACTTTTTGCGGAAAACTTTTTGCGTTGAGTTGGTTTATGCTCGCCCAATCTGACACTGCCTTGGATCGCTGCTGTTTTTGGTTAAGCGCTTTTGGCTAGGGATAATATAGGTTTTTGAAATTTGGGTTTCTAATCTGTACACTGTATCACAAGGAACCATATTTGTGGACAAAAGGAACCAAATTTCTAGACCAAAGGAACCAAATTTGTCTAGAAAAAGGAACCATAATTGTGGACAAAAGGAACCATATTTGTGAACAAAAGGAATCAAATTTGTCTAGAAAAAGGAACCAAACTTGTAGACCAAAGGAACCAAATTTGTCTAGACAAAGGAACCATATTTGTGGACAAAAGGAACCAAATTTCTAGACCAAAGGAACCAAACTGTATCACAACTTCTTAAATTCTATTAATTGGAAAGGTTTAATTGAGATTTTTCAATTAAAGTTTAGCCAATTCTAGCTGAAGTAATCATTTTTTTATTCGTTATTTGAAGAAATTTAGTGTAAAATGGAGGTAATACTATGAATTTTAAAGAAATAAATGCAAAATTCTATGTTAAACCGTAGTAAGTTCAATTCAGATAGCTCATTTTATCAAATTTAGTTTAAAAACAAGAAATGTATAGAAATGGTAAGGCTAAAAATGGGGATTTTCGAGCGATTGACATATCAATAGAAGGGAATTGAAAGAGAAATTGGGATAAGAATGGAATCCATCAAAAAGAATCCAATGAAAGATCTCCCAAGAAAGGGTATCCCCTTACCGAGCTAGTTTAGAGATATCACCTTTGAAATTTTGAGCGAAAAGAAGAATTCAAGCAATGTGTCACAAATTTCAGCCTTCTTCATCACACTGAGATTTCTCCAAAATCTCTTTGTTGAACAAGCAATCAATTTTAAGCTTAATGAACGTTTTTAGGAATAGAATTTTTGAATGGGTCGTCACGCTTTGAAGGCCTATAACTTTGTCCAGAGATCATATTTTTGTTAACATAGAATGGAAAAGGAATAGAATAGAAAAATCGAGCTAATATTATTTGTTTCAAGAGTAGAAAGTTGAGAAAAACTAGAGCAATAAACAATAAAACTAGGAGTGAAAGCAAATTTTGGCTCTTGTGTAGTTTCCAGGTATTTTGAATGGGTCGTCACGCTTTGAAGACCTATAACTTTGTCCAGAGATCATATTTTTGTTAACTTTTCATATCATTGTACAGAGGACATTTCAGGCTTTCAAATGATACCAAATAGAGCTCGGTTGGATAATCCAGTCCAAGAAAATCAGAGCCAACTCTGAGCAAATGAGGTCCATCCAACTCTGGTGTCGTCTCCTCTTGTTTTCATGGGAATAAAAAAATCCAATCAAACTCTATTGGGTATCATTTGAAAGCCTGAAATGTCCTCTGTACAATGCTATAAAATGTTAACAAAAATATTATTTCTGGACAAAGTTATGGATCTTCAAAGTGTGACGACCCGTTCAAAATACCCGGATTTTTCCTAAATACCTTCGAGATTCTTTCAAAATGCCTGGAAATTACGCAAGAGCCGAAATCTTAAAGATTGACTAATCCCACCTCAATATCTCCCTCTCCAGCTCTCGTCGAATCAATCGAAAATCTTAATTCCTGTCCGACAAGACCCACGTCTAAGCCATAGACATTCACCAGATTTGCGTCGTAGACCTGGAGATTTTTCTTGTCCATTAAAATTCTTCAATTCTTTCTAGCCCTACCTGACAATTGAACGGTGAACCACGAATGTGCTGCTCGTCATAGATGATCCCAATTTGCCAGGTTCCTAAAAAAATACAATAGTAAATCTACAAAGGACTAAAGATTTAAAAGAGACATAAATTTCAATGTTTTTGTTACGTTCTTTGCTCATAATCTTTTCGTCTGATTGAAACAAGGGAAACGGCCTTTCATTGAGTCTTTTTAGCCATAAAAAGAAAAGAAAAACATACGAATTCACAGTTTTTTTTGTGAGAATGCACTTTCTATCCTATTTAGATAAGATTTTTTGAGTGGAAATCGGTTTTCTTGTTTAAATTTTAAAAAACAATTAGCAACTAGTAAGTTCTGATAAGTTGATAACAATAAAATCAAATTATTGCCAAATCGAAGCAAAAAAATGGGTTAGTAATTGTGCTTTTTCATACTTTCTACCTTAATCCCCCCAAAAGCTATTTAGTCCCATTGAGCTTAGGGGGGAGCCGTCTGTCATGACGTGGGTTAGGTTAAGATATAGTATTGTGTGTGTGTTGTATGTGTGATTGATTTTTTTGTATGCGAATTCCCACTGGTGCCCGTCTTTTTTTTTAAAAAAATCTTTTTCGATTTTACACTAAATTTAACCGATATTGTAAAGTAAATTTATAGCAACGTAGATAAGCAAGTCTAGTGTACAGTAAAAGCCTCAATTTCTTATAAAGATCTTCATTTAAAGTTAAAATTGCTTAATAGAGAAGCTTAATAAAGAATTTTTATACAAAAACTGTTCACAAGTTTGATTCTGAATGTTTGAAAAAAGGCGAATTTAACAAAAGAATCCATTCAATGAGTGAATGAATCAAAGAAAGGAAAAAGAAAGGAATTCAAAAGAAAAACCTGAAAGATTCCTTTCTATTTCCTTTTTTTCATTGTCAAACACAAGTACAACCCCTTGATTTGCATCTCTAAAGGACAACAAATCGTTTTGAAGCAACTCTAGTGAAGAAATTCTCTAACAAAACAGAAATCAATACTTGCATTACATTGAATTTATATTTAATTTGCATTTAAACACTCACCAACTTCATCCGGATTAAAAGTTGCTGTGAAACTAGCGCCAACTCTAGAAACAGGACACTGCAAAAGTCGACCCGATGGAGATTCAGATTCCACTAGCACTTCACCCTTTGATGCATCACCATGAGCATTAATCTAAGTTTTTTTAAATTGAGATTCTATAGAATTTTCTTACCACCACTTCAACGATTGATCCAACAGCGCATGGCTCAGAGAGGCCAGAGAATGAGATGAGACCCACGTCGGACAAAGTTCTCGGCCGACTCATCTTTTTCTCTCGATTTTCCTAAACAAAATTCTTTGATCTTTTATAAAAATGATTAGAAAGCAAAGTAACTTAAAAAGATCCAGTTTTTCTAAACAGACCAAGAGAGAAGTCAACTCTTGGCGTAACTTCTGCCTGTCTTGTCTGGGCCAGTCTGGCTCGTCTGGGCCAGTCTGGCTTGTCTGGGCCAGTCTGGCTTGTCTGGGCCAGTCTGGCTTGTCTGGGCCAGTCTGGCTTGTCTGGGCCAGTCTGTCTTGTCTGGGTCAGTCTGTCTTGTCTGGGCCAGTCTGGCTTGTCTGGGCCAGTCTGGCTTGTCTGGCTTGTCTGGCCTGTCTGGCTTGTCCAGGCCAGGCTGGCTTGTCCAGGCCAGGCTAGCTTGTCCAGGCCAGGCTGGCTTTTCCAGGCCAGGCTGGCTTGTCCAGGCCAGTCTCTGTTCCAAATTCCAAAGGCAAGGTTAGGTTGCTTTTCTTGGCCTGGCTTGACTTACTGATTGAAATAAACAAATCTTGCTCACCTCAGAATATGATGGGACTGAATATGGCCTCTCGTGTCGTGTAATCGTTTCTCGATACGAGATCTCTTCAGTCTCTTGATATTGTGTGTACTCTTCCCTACAAAATCATCAATACTATTTCAATCTTGTAAACAAATAGTAAAGCTTACTCTTGCTGTATTTCTTCGTCTCTTTCTTCTCTTTCTTCTCTTCTTTCCTCTCTTCCTTCCTCTCTTCTTTCCTCTCTTCTTTCCTGTTTTTCTTCTCTTTTCACCCTCTCGTTTCTTTCGTTTCTCTCTTCGCGATGTTTCTCCAAACGAACAGTTTGTGCCCTTTGCTCTTCGAGTTTTTTCACGATTTGCGCTCGCCTTTTTGCAAAAGATTGATGCTCAATGGCAACCTATAATTGAAAACAATAAAATATTGATTAGAAAGATTAGAAAGTTGACTTTCTCAGAGTTCAATGATGTTAACCAATGTAGAACTCGCCAAAAACTTCGCCAAAAACTAACTAACAACAACAACTAACTGTGAAAATAACAAATTTCATTTTTCAATGCATCTTTGAATAACAAATTTAGAAGTTTTCAATGTTCTCTCTTCTTTGCAAACATATTTCTTTTCTTATCTGCTCAAATCTCACCTCCTCGTCCGGACTGACTCTCTTTGAGGTGCTGAGAGCTCTTCTGATTGGGGTTTGCACGGAGAGGTGGTCTCTAAAAACAATATATATTAATTCTAGAAATATAATAACTGTAAAATTCATTCGTTTTACTTTCACTAGTTTTACCTGCTCGAATCTGCTGATAGAACTTGCAGAGAGACGGGACTTGATGGAAGCTCGTTGCCCTGGCAGAGGATTCGGATCTGAAATCGAATTTGAAATTTCAGAAGACTTTTCTGATGATTTGTTTCTAATAAAAGACGTTTACAAGCTGAAAATGATAAAAATTTTGTTCTAAACTAGCAATTCAGAAAATAGAACAACAAAAAGTGAGGGGTAATCGACAGGAAATGATTATTCAAATACAAAAGATGAAAGAGAGGAAGGTTTTGGATGGAGATTGAGATAGACTATACAGAGATGATCCTTTTCTCTTTCTCTTTTTGAATCGTCAACGATATACCCCAAAAATTCTTTGTCTCTTTTTGATTGGGGACTCGATTTTGTTGTCGACAGGTCAAGGCAAGTCATTGGAGGAAAAGGATGAGAGAAAGAAAATAAAAATGTTGGAAAGCTCAAAGTGTTTACAAGTTTTTTTTATAAAAACTGAGATAGTTATATAGTCGAATAGTTAAAGCTGATACAAAATTGAAATCAAAGGTAAATACTGGGATTTATAGTTCATAATTGTAGTTCTACTATTCTGTTGGCTCATTCAGTGATGTGCCAATCAAATCCTGATGCTCGTAGCAAGGTCAGAGCTCTATCGAAAGCCAAGTCCAGAAGCCAAGCCTGTCGAAAAGCCAGGTCTGGCTTGATCCGGAAAAATTGTCTTTAAAACAATTCTGATCTAAAATATTGTCTACCTATTTCAGACCTATCAAAGCTTTGCCTTCAACTATTGGGTTGATGGAAAAGTCCTTTCCGATTTTTTGGGAGAGTACCTTAAATTTGTCCAATTTTGACGTTCTATAGCTCATCCTAAAGCGGAATTCAAGACGGAAAACTAACGAAACGTGAAAACAGCCATTTTTTGGCTCTGCCGCCCTTTACTAAAATAGCTGTAAAAACTTTAAAAAAAAGAGATATCTCAAAACGGTTTTTACCAATCGATCCGTCTTGAATTCAGCTTTAGGATGAGCTATAGAACGTCAAAATTGGACAAATTTAAGGTACTCTCCCAAAAAATCGGAAAGGACTTTTCCATCAACTCAATAGAATCTTTTGTTCTGTTCTAGAATCAATGTGCTCTTTTCTCAAGTGAAAACAGTGATAGAAATCTTTCAAATATTGTTTTAGATATTAAAAAACAATGAAAAAAAAAGCTTTTAATTAGTTTTCTAAACTAAATAAATGAAGAGAGCAAGAGACGAAAAGCCAAAACGAGCGTTTACAGTCGATTGACAAGGATTCAATTTCAAATTTCAACTAAATTGTTGAAGGAATAAAAACAAAGAATTTTTTCAAACAAAGAATAAAAAGCAATGATTTTTTTTTCAATATCCGATAAAAAACGATAAAAACGAACTCGGCTATCAAAGAAAAAGTTGCGGAGAGAAAAATGTGGGCAATGGTAAGCCAAGCCGTGTTGTGACCTCCAAAAAGGATTCCCCAAAAACCGATCAACAAGGAGAAAATCGAGAAAAGTTGAAGAAAAGAGTAGAGAAATGGGGAAAATAGAAGGAAAACACTTTCACATGGCAGGGAAATAAGGAGGAACATTCCGACAAACGATTCCATGGATTTTAGGAGAGAAAGAAAAGGGAAGGGAGGGGAACGGGTCTCAAAGTTTCCGAAGAGCTTCTTCAAGGATATTCTAGACTTTTACTTGAGTAAAAAGTTCACTTTCACATGGCAGGGAACATTCCGACAAACGATTCCATGGATTTTAGGAGAGAAAGAAAAATGGAAGGGAAGGGAACGGGTGTCAAAGTTTCCGAACAGCTTCTTGAGGCATATTCTAGACTTTTACTTGAGTAAAAAGTTATTAGGTTGAGAAAAAAATAATGTCAGTTTTGAATTCCCGTTTTTGGTCGTTGTCCCGTCGTTGGCATTGACTGATGTGCGTTTGTTGATGTTTTTAGTCATAAACAGTTTTGTGCAAAAAACCGACATTACTTTTTCCTCAACCTAATAAATAATGATGGACTTTGATAAGGAAAAGTTTTGGAAATGGAAATGATTGAGAGTAGAAGAAGAGAGCTTTTGTTAAGGTTTTGATACTAGTGGCCTAGATCCATAAAAACTGCGTTTCATTAGAACAAGAACAAGAACAAGTACAAGAACAAGAACAAGAACAAGAACAAGTACAAAAACAAAAAAAAAAAAAAAAAAAAAAAGAAAAAAAAAAAAAAAAAAAAAAAAAAAAAAAAAAAAAACAAGTACAAGAACAAGTACAAGTACAATACTTTATCGTGTTCTTGAGAGTGATTCAACATCGCTATTTGAATGAAAAATAAGTGCTCTGATTACTGGTTTAAATGTGAATATGATTAACAAGTACAACTTGCTAATCTAACTTAACAAGTACAACAAGTACAACAAGTAACAAGTACAACAAGTACAACAAGTACAACTAGCTAATCTAACTTAACAGTACAACAAGTACAACTTGTTAATCTAACTTAACAAGTACGACAAGTGCAACAAGTACAACCTAGTGGTAAACGTTTTTAAATGCAGATTTTGATTTGAAATACCCAAGGATTTCCATGGAAAAGTGAGATAATAATCAAAGGATTGGTGGGGAAACTTAGATTTTAAGAAAATAGAGTATTTCTAGGTCAACAATGTTACCATTTACTATAGTAATTTTCTGTAATAAAGAAAAGAACGCCTACAGATCAATCTCTCTCCCAGAATTAGTCATAAAACTGAAAAAACTGTGTATTCTTTGAAAAATGATTCAATTCAAATAGTTTCTCTTGATGAAAAGCCTTTTATTTGTATGACTATGATTCCAATTGGGTAAAAGAAATGCAATCGCTTTCAATCATAAACAGTCAGGGCAAGAAAGATTGTCAAGGTTAAATTCTTTAACTAAAAAAAACTGTTTACTGTTGAGAATCAGATCAAATTTAAGATAATTCTTAAATATAAAATACCTGATGATATCCAGATTGAATTGGAATTAGTGACAAAACGGCTCCTTGCACTGTTCGACTCTTGCGCACTTGAAGCTCGCTGTTGCTCAGAACGTTTCCATTAGGGCCGATAACTGAATATTGATTTTGTGAAAGATAAGAACTTTTAGCTGTTATTCTCTTGAATCTTCTTAAGCTATTCTTCTATTCTCCGTCTATTCTTATTCTATTCTTATTCTATTCTTCGTCTATTCTCCTTCTCTTCTTCTTCTCTTCTTCTTCTATTCTTCGTCTATTCTTCGTCTATTCTTCTTCTCTTCTTCTTCTCTTCTTCTTCTCTTCTTCTTCTCTTCTTCTTCTCTTCTTCTTCTATTCTTCTTCTCTTCTTCTTCTCTTCTTCTTCTCTTCTTATTCTCTTCTTCTTCTTATTATTATTCTAATTCCAACCCTGAATATCCAACTCATCGGTGCGAACCTCTCCGCCATCAGCGAAAGCCAAGTCGAGATTTACCTGTAAAATATTGTACAATAGTCCATGAGATCACAAATTCGATCTTTTAATCTTTAAGTTAAACTAAAGTCAAACTAAATTCAAACTTGTTGATTAGTATAGCATTGAGTGATTGGGAATGACGGTGTTGGGCCGACAGCACAAAGAGCTGCTGCTAGAGCCATGATTCCTGAAATTCCACACGGAAAATTCTCGGTTTTGAATTAATAATTGAGCAATGATTCTCCTAAGAACACTGCTTAGATTAATGTTTAGAGTTAGAAGAGAAAATGAACAAGAAAACAATTCGTAGACTGTTTAAAATCATTTTTAGTGTTTTAACAAAAAAGATGGTGAGGGGATTCGAACCAGATTTGAACCAGATCAAGCGCGGGCTCACTATCCACTACACTACCCCGTCACTGCCTTTTTACGGGAAGCAAGAAGCTCTGAAAATGCCACCTAAACTTCTTCACCAGATAACTCGCGATACAGGGCTCTGTTAGTAAAACTATAACCAGATTTGGAATTAGCGTTCAAAACTCTATCAGATAAGCTATTCAAAAACGACGCAGAAACGCCGACTTAAGTTGGCGCCATTTCCTAGTTAGATAAATGTTTAGAAGACTTGATTCAGTAGACATTCTTAGCCTCTCACCTAGATGTTCTCCTTGCGAGTCAGCGATATCTTCAGCGCCCACTAGTGAACCGACTCCAAGATCAGCTGCTGCATCAAGACCTAAAGATTTCTTCTTTTCTAGATCTTCTTTTTTTTGTAGATTTTCTCTACTTACCACAGCGCACATTGTACACCCAACTATGGTAGTCATCATATTGCATACTGTCGATCTCAGGCACTCTCCCACCAACTGATTCAATCAATCGACACAAGATGTACCCATCACACCATGTAGGTGAGAAATCTTCAACTAAGGGATCGGAGCCAATTAGCTAAAGAGTTTGAAGTGATTTTTGCCTGTTTCAAGATCAAGTTTTGTCATGGAAAATGGCTGTCTTGGTTTGTTTTGACTGGCAATGGGTACTTGAGTAAGACTGTTGCTAGATGCTGTGCTGTGCTAAAGGCCAGTGCTCTACCAATAGCTCATTGATAGAGCACTCGCCCGATAAGCGAATCCTGGTAAGCGTCGCGGGCTCGAATCCCGGCGCCGACCATCTTTCCCAGCCAGAAAAGGATGTCCAACTCTTGGCGAAAATAAAACTAAACTATTGCACCTGTTGCACTCGATACATCGTTGATCTGTATCCAGGACTGCCCTTTTTGACAAAATACGAGAGATACGTGATACAAGAGAGCTCATCGAGATCCGGAGATGAGAGATGTTCAGCCGAGAGAATTGGAGGAATCCCCAAATATCGCTCGGCTAAACGGATCCCCCGGGCACAGTTCTCTCTTCTAAAAATTGTATTTAGATTTTAATTTCAATGTTTAATTGCTCAAATAAACTATAAGATCATTTTAAAACCCAGAAAGAATAGAAAAATTCGCTTTTCCATCAGCTTTCCATCAGCCAGAAAAAAGTGAAGGATTTTTTAGGAAGATAAACTACAAACTTCAAAAGAAAGACTAATTCAGAGTAGATTCAAAGCACAGGAAAAATTTTAGACTTTTCAAAAAATGGCTGAAGCCAAGTGCCAACACTGAAACACCCCGATCTCTTTCAAAATCCTTTCCCCCATTCCATTTCTCGTCACTCAGCTGCAATAAAGGCAAATCCAACGATGCTTCACAAAGGAAAGCAAAAAAAAAAGGCAAAATCGCTTGAAATCGATGCGTCAAATTTCAAATAGAAAGCAAACTTTTTGCTTTTAATATTGAACTATGGCAGAGAAGGAATTTTGAAATTTAAAAGCTTTAAAACTATTGATTCAAACTATTGATCAAAAGTATAGTTTTGAGATTATTTTCCTTATGTTAGTAAACTTTAAACTCTTGTTTAAGCTTCCACTTTGTGCGCAAAGATTTGAAATTTGAAACTGGCAACACTTACCCTGGCAGACTGAACTCTTTATGTCAGATAAGCTCTGTTTAAATTCATTGAACACAAAGCAAAACCCTCACCCATCTTCCGGATCGATTCTTTTCCATTCTGGGCACAATCCCGGTTGACAGTATTCAAGTAAAGCTGATAAAGCGACTCCATTGTTCCAGTTTGTTCGAAAGTTTGTTATTTTCAATTCCGGGAGAACGGACTAAAACTTGGATTGATTCAAAAATTCTAGCTAAAGTTCAAACCTGAACCCAAGCCATCATCAATTTCTTTGGAGGAATCTTCGTCTTAGAAGCGATCTGATAGCGTTGGATGAGGGTCCAGATAAGGCCCAGAACTAATTTTGGATTTCCTTCAACAATGTCATGACTTCCTAAATGATTTCACTGCTAAAATCCCTATTCAAAACATACCAATATTCACGAGTTTTATCCCATCTCTACGCATCGCGTCAAGCGCCATCTGCACGTTCATCAACATTTGAATCTCCGTCGGATCTTTGTTGAACACCTAGATTCTAACGTTTAATGTTCACGTTTACTTTTAAATCAATCAATTGTTCAATCTCGTTCAATCAATTCAATCAATCGTTCAATCTCGTACAATTGACTCAATCAATCGTTCAATCTCGTTCAATTGACTCAATCAATCGTTCAATCTCGTTCAATCAATTCAATCAATCGTTCAATATCATTCAATTGATTCAATCAATCGTTCAATCTCGTTCAATTGACTCAATCAATCGTTCAATCTCGTTCAATTGATTCAATCAATCGTTCAATGGATTGAACCCTCACACCGTTTAACCAACTTTTCCAGAGCATAATCGATCCTGGAGACTCTCGACAAGTTTAATTAACAGCACTCCATCGCTCAATTCAGCCGCCAAATCGTGCAATTTGTAGCCAGTGCCACGAAGCTAAATGTTTTCAGTTTATTGACCAATCTAGTAGCCATGCCTTTACTTTATTTCTTTTCTGATATCATAATTAACCAAAACATAACCCTTTAATGTCCCCTTACTCTTCCCAATTCTTCCCAGATCTTTCCGTTCTTCAAAAGCCCGAAACTGTACTCATTGAAAAGGTAAAACTCGAGTTCTATCAAAAGAGAGATGCGTTTTGTTGACAGTTCCTTCATATTTTGACGGCGCGCATCTATGCGAAAAGAGAGAAAAAGAAAGGGAAAAGGGGTAAACAGTATCGACGCGAGTCTTCTCTTTTCTTTCTTTCAGCTATAGGGTGTATTGATTGGTGGAACATGCTTGAAGAGGATTTGCTGAGCATTTCCAGCAATCAACATTATAAGTACGATAGGATTTGAAGGATTTTGTAGCTAAAGTTCTTGCAAATCTAATCTAATCTAATGTAAAGTCTAAATCAAAACGGTTATACAAAGCCAGAAACGTTGTCATTCAAACTTTTAATACTAAAAATTCCTCCGAATGTTTGTAGTAAGTAATTAAGCCAAGTAAAAAGCCTTGATCAAAAGTTGAACTCCAAAAATTGAGTTCTTAAGAAGATCTCGAGTTTGAGCTCGATCCCGAGCTCGAGCTCGAGCTTATTCTGTTTCTTCTGGTGTTTTTTCAATCATAAAAAAACCATCAACTAGAATTTCTATGGTATGTGAAAGATTCCCACTTTCTCTCTAGGTATGCAAAGGAGAATATTTGAGAAGTGAAGTCTTTCCCCTTTCCTTTCCCCATCAAAATGCGCGGAAATGTTTACTCTCCAATGGGAACGCTAATTGAAAATTTCGTGTCCGTTGTTTTGAAAGTATAGAAGTGATAAAATTAATATTTTCTTCTGAAAATCTAGAGCCTAGTTAGCTAATTGTTAGTGAAATAAATCAAAGTAAACCAAAATCAAAGTAAACCAAGAGTAAACCAACTCAAATCAAGTCTTAGATTTCAAATCAAGTCTTAGATTTCAAATAAAAGTAAACCAAGAGCTAAAGGACAGACTTTTTATATAATGTTTGTTGATTGTAAGCTTTAGAAACTTGACTTAATTTCTACAGAACATAAAGCATCCAAAGAATCTAATCCCAAGAATTCCTGAACATCTCACCTGTTCATTAATCCAATTTGTGAAAGTGTGCATTTGAATGTGAACCCATCGAGATTTCGGCTCATCAAGTTGCATTGAATGCCGATCCGAATACGATTGTCTAGCCATTTTCCAAAGAAACAGCCCACTAAGCACTACAACTACTAGAGTGATCAAATAAATGTACAATTTAGAAATAATTGAACATTAGGGAAGATGAATCGAAGCCGAGCATTGGTCAGTACAGAGAAAATGGGGAAACGTTTGAGAGGGGAACGGTTTGAGGAGGGTAAAAGGGGAATGGAGGTAAGGGAAAGGGGATGGGCCCTCCCTCGGTCAACAGTCAACCCCTCCACCCCCCTTTCACCTATAGTGAACCCCTTCTTCTAAGCCTAGCCTTCGATTTGTGCAAAGATTGAATTTGTGGATATTTGTATGCTGATTCTGTTAAACTTAGACTTTCCAGATCTAGAATCGAACTCTTGCTCTTTTGAGCGCTAGCTCGAAAGAGCAAGAGTTCGATCTGCTAGTCTTAGTCTGGCTAGTCTGGCTAGTCTGGCTAGTCTGGCTAGTGCTAGTCTGGCTAGTCTGGCTAGTGCTAGTCTGGCTAGTGCTAGTCTGGCTAGTGCTAGTCTGGCTAGTGCTAGTCTGGCTAGCGCTTTCGCGCGCTAGCCAACCAATGATGTGAATTTATTAGCGAACTTATAACTTTTAAAATATTTCTTTTCAAAACTCAAGAATTACTCATTTTAAACATGTAAAAGTTTTTTGAAAAAATAATTGTTAGAGAAAGAATAATTTATTCAACATAATGTTTCATCTCAATCTTCCAAATCAATGTCGTTGAAGAGCATCGTCTATAAGTTTTAAAGTTTAATAAAACATTTTTCACATAGATAATATCTTTATTTGATAGCGTTACTAATAAAATTTCTCTTACAAATCTTACAAATCCATCAATGAAATTACAAATCCAATCTTTACAAATCCATCAATGGAATCAGGATTTAATTTGGTTATTATCAGGGAAAGCCCAACGCCAATCTGATATTCAGAATATTCAAAATAAAGACACGGTAAAGACAAGGGAATTACAGACGTTATTACAGACAACGGAATTACAGTTCCTCATTTCAACTTAAATCTCTGAAAAGTTTAAGTGTCCTAGTGTCAATGTTTTTTTGGCGTTACAATGCTTTGACTTTTTTTGAGAGATTTTCCTGATTACATTACATGAAAAATGAACTTTAAACCGGAAAACATAACTGAAAGGGAGATGAGCAGGAGTTCTTTACATCAGTTGATTTGTGAATCAATTTTTTAGGCAACTTTCCAGCTTAACTTCACGAATTTCACTCACGTTCCTCCTCACATGTCCTCTCGGATTCGGATAACATTTCGCTTTCAATTCCTTTCAAATAAACGAGTTCTTTTTTCTAAACAATAAAAAATATGGGTATGTTTTTCTATATAGCCAACGGCATACTGTAGCTTGAAAAATTAAATAAAAGTATTCAGTTAAAAGGATAAGAACTTTTAATGATCTTTAATTGACAAATGGATCAATTAAAAAAGACTTTTGAAAAAGATCCGCTTTCTTTGAGTGTAAAATAGTGATGTGATGTGATAGTGATGAAAAAAAAAGTGAAAAACATCCGCTTTCTTTCTTTGAGCTTTGAGTTTGAGTTGATTTTCAACCTTTTTGCCTTTTTTTTCTGCAAAATGGATACTCTTGACTGGATTGAATCAAAGCTACACTACTGGAAAATGAAATATCAAATTTGAAAAAAGATCGTCACTATCGCGCGCCTGTAACTCCCTTGTCTTTACCGTATTTCTAAATATTAATATTACCATTGTGTAGCCCTTGAAAAGAGCTTTCAGAAAATGTAGAGCACTAATAGTTTAAACTCAAAGACAAGGGAGTTACAAACGCACGAAAATGACGATCTTTTTTCAAATATGATATTTCATTGTCCAGTACTGTATTTGTGTAAAACTTGGAAATTCTGCGAGACGAACTTTTAATTATAAGTTCTTTCAGTGAGGAAAATTATTACTTGAAGCTAAATTAACTTCTATGAAATTTTTGAGATCTTTCGGAAATGTGAAAGCCAAGATTCACAAAGTCAAGATTAAACCAGAAGATCTAAAGTAGCGCTTTTTATTTTGCACTGAACTTTTAGTTAAAGTTCCCGTAATTTTAAAATAGTACGGTAACTAGATTGTTACCGTAAATACTGTAATAGTACCCCACTCCCCTCGTACAGTCGCGTAGTCGCAAAAGTTTTTTAGTATTTCATTTATTTCAAAGCGCCCGTACTTTCAAAAAATGCATTTTTGGTATCAAAAAATAGCTCTGAATTTCAGCTATTTTTTGATATTTAAGCGCGCATTGTAGCATAAACCAGTGTCGAGAAAACCCGTTCAAAGCTAGACTACACAACACTCCGCACCGTCACTATGGGGGTGGGGTACTATTACAGTATTTACGGTAGATTGTCTTTTTACAATAAAAGCAATAAAACGATGATGCTTCCTCACCGGATTTTCCCATCTCCATCTACGATCATTGTTGCAAAAAAGCGTCACTCTTTCCTCGCATTTCAAATACAATTCATAAGTTGTACCCTTTATTTTTTTAAATATTAAAATCTTTTAATATTTTCCTCAAAATCTCACCTTAACATCAATCATTTTCACTCGAATTTTCGATTGATTTTTGCTTTCCCAAGTGATATGAGCTGCCATACAATACCCATTTTTTGTCTGTACATTTCTGAAATTGAAATGATATTGAAGCTTCCATAAACCACTCACTCAGTGACGATTTTGTGCCAAAATTTCGATATGTTTGTCCGATTTGTTGCGAGTTTATCAAAAGGAAGACAGAGTTCACAAACTAAATCTAACCATTGCGAACAATTTGCGAACAATTCCAAAACATACGCTTTCTATCGCAATCACCAGTTGATTTGGAAAGGGGATGAGCTTGAATTCGTGTTAAACTGTAATTTTTCAAGCTAATTCCATCCTAAAAAAAGGGTTTTATGAGGGGTTTTTTAAAGATCGAAAGACATCTCCTTCCAACAACCATTTCCCGTTATTGTCACAAAAGATTGACACTTTCGTATCGCATTTCAAGAAAATATCCTTCAATTGCTGAAATGTTTCTCCAAACTTATCAAGACGAAAAGAGAATTTTCAACTAACATCTTCCGCATCTCCCAAACGGAGTCTAATCTTTGATTTGTCGGGATTTTTCCAAGAGAGTTCCCCGACTTTACATCCATTTTCATGTATCCTGCAAATTACTTAATCTATTACAAAACTTTCTTCTAATTTCAGCTTACCAGTATTTTGAAAAGTGTTTAGAAAGAGCATTTTCACCAATCTCAGTATAGAAAATATTTTCAAAGTCCAAGCAACGCTCACACGCTAAATAATGCAAAAATACATTCAAAATTTAGTAATAAAGACTATTAAAATTGTCTTACGTTTGGGTTTTTGCATTTCAAGCTCGGCGATTAGTCTGTCCGTGCAACGATGAGTTTGTGTTCTCAGCTGAATTTGAATAAAATGAACATAGAATAGAATTGCTACACACAGAATTGCTCAAATGATGCTATTTTCGTGATTAGATCAGAGTTGGCTTGGTCTAGCAGCCAAGCTTTGTTTTGTACTTTGGACAGAGCTTTGTTTGACTTTTGGACTTGCTTGGCTTGCAATGGTTGACCTGTAGATCTGGCTCACAAAAATCTCTAAACCCGTCAGAAAAGAAGTTTATGGCTTTGCTGCAGGTCCTGGTCTGGCTTAGCTTTGCTGCAGATCCAAACCTGGCCTGGCTTGGCTTCGCTTATCTTGCAAGTTCTAGGACCCAGCTGAATCTATTATACAGACATGTAGCTTTTGTTTATACCTCTAGTCTAACTCAAATAAGTTTCTTTTGTCGATTGATATGCTCTGTTCTGCTTAGATTTCTACCATTTGCTGAAAGATCTCCACGTAGATCCATTTCGTGTAATTCTTTGCCAAATCACCGCCACAAATTCTCGTTTTCGCTGCGATAATGCAGTGCATATTTCGAACTAGATCGCTGAAATAAACTGTGTTTATGAATTACATTCATGTACGATCCAGAAATCCAGACTAGACATGGGCATCGGGTTGGATCGGGCTGACCCGACCTGGCGAAAATTTTTGGCTTGACCCGACGCGACCCGCTGCCCCGACCCGCTGACCCAACCCGCTGCCCCGACCCGCTGACCCAACCCGACCCGCTGACCCAGCCCGACCCGCTGACCCAACCCGACCCGCTGACCCAACCTGACCCGCTGACCCAACCCGACCCGCTGACCCAGCCCGACCCGCTGACCCAACCCGACCCGCTGACCCGACCCGACCCGCTGACCCGACCCGACCCGCTGACCCGACCCGACCCGCTGACCCGACCCGACCCGCTGACCCAACCTGACCCGCTGACCCAACCCGACCCGCTGACCCAGCCCGACCCGCTGACCCAACCCGACCCGCTGACCCGACCCGACCCGCTGACCCGACCCGACCCGCTGACCCAACCCGACCCGCTGACCCGACCCGACCCGCTGACCCGACCCGACCCGCTGACCCGACCCGACCCGACCCGCTGACCCGACCCGACCCGCTGACCCGACCCGCTGACCCGACCGAAAATGAACATGTCTAATCCAGATTGAGATTTCAATCTAATCTCCACTCACTCGCAATCATTCGCGTCTTGCCAACACTCGTCAATCATTTCATTTTGACCCATATTTCCTTGTAAACAAGCTTCAATCGCTTTAGGATCATTTGCTAAATATTTCCTAGAGCTTCCTTATATTGTGGCTAAACTTTTAGTCATTACTTGGATACTTAAACTTATACTCAAGGGTATCTTGAGCTAGTCTAACTTACGTATAGATGGTGATGTAGAGGTTGAAATCACCGCTTCGCTTTCTCCTAATACGATCCCAATATAAGCTAGAAAGAAGGCAAGAAAAAACGGTTTTAACATGATCATAGTATTCGTTTTTCATATATTTTAACGTTTTTCATCTTTTTAATGATTCATTTTTGTTTATCCTTTCAGAATTCATTTGGAAAATAGAAAAATTTGTGATGATTTGATTCAGAAAACTGTCTAGAGGTTGTTGTTTCGCTGAATTTATTAGCGAACTTATAAATTTTACAGAATTTTTTGCCAAATCTTAAGAATTATAGGGAATTGCTGATTAAAAGTTTATTCTTTCTGAAATTTGTTAAACAAACTGCTATTGAAAAACAACAAATTGACAAATTTGGTCCTTTTTCATTAAAATACATTTATTAGGGCAAGACTTTGTGCTTGTCATTTTCGAAAGACATTTCAGATCACAAGAATAGCTGTTGGGATTCAAGTTTTATCATCTTTTGAGTCGTATAATTCTTCTAAATATTTAAATAATGGTTTTCAGTTATTCAGTTGGTAAAATTCTAAAAACAGACTGCATATCCGTAAAATTGTAAGTGAATTTTCAACAAAACGATAAAGAATTATGCAAAGAAAGTGATATCACAGATAGAAATTCCCTTTAATTTAAGTTAATGCATTTTTAACTCGTTTTTTAATTGTTCCACGAGCGCTTTGTCTTCGGGAGATGGATCGTAGATTCGGCTGAGGAAAACCTTGAAAGAATTTCATGTTTTTAAGATTACAAATTGCAAAAGATCTTAAATAAAAGCTTTTATCTATAAAAAAACTTTCTTAAAAGTGAAAGTGAAGTGAAAAACTTTCAAGTTTTCACAGGAAAAAGCCTAGAATCTAGACAGTCAAAAAAATTGACAAATCTTTCTTCAAAGTCCAATTATTTTCTGTAATTTACCTTGTCCTTGAATAACTTTGCCAATAGTAGATAATTCGCGAACATTAGTAGCACAAGTGTGCAAATGTGTTGCCATTCAGTCGTTAAAACGAGCATCCAGAACTGAACGGCAATGAGAATCCCCTCGAAAATACACAGTAGATTCACGAGAGTGCATGGTCCCTTGCAGAGGCGCTAAAATGATGTTATGATGTTTTACGCATTTTCTTTCAACTTACATAAAACGTGGTGTGCTCAAAGTTGCCCGGCTCTGCCGCAACAGTGCCCAACTCGGCGCTACCAACTGCGAGAAAGCGACGCTCATCGCCGAGTTGCACAACGGAGCCCATCGGATGGAGACCGTCATTTGGATTCCATCTGGAAATTCAAGCATTTGAACAAAGACATTCATGGCTGACTGGCTAAGAGTCTTGTATCTTAGTCAAGAGGTCAAAGGTTTAATCCCACCGGTAGAGTATTGATTCTTCTTTCATAGCCGTATTCTCTCTAATAGTAGACCCCGCCAAGCCGAGTTGATGACGATTTTACGGTTTCAAAGTTTTCGAAGAAGCTCAACACTCAAATCCCTCACTAGATCTCATCGTCAGCTACATTTTCCGACCCCACATCGATAGGTTGTGATAAGCGCTTTTCGAGATTTCGAGGAATTTAGACAACGCTCAGGGTGCACTACTATTAGAGAGAATACGGTATTCCCTTTTACTAGAGCTTTTCATTTTTGATCTCATTGTCAATAGGTGTACAACGGAACAACGAGATTCGACCATTTCAATGACAACTTTTTCAGGATTTTTTGCCAAATAAAAGTCGAATTTTTCAAGTTCTATCTTTCAGTCTGAAAAACCCTTGAAAAAGTTGCTTTTGAAGTGGTTAAAGGTGCACTCAGGGTGCACTACTATTAGAGAGAATACGGTATATGGATTTTCCTACATTTAGGACGTAGCGATGCTTTTATATTGTTTGTACAACATTATTCATGTGAATAAATGTATTTTAAAGGATAAATCTCAAGGCAGCTTTACGAGATTCTTGGTTTAAATGATTTATAATGATGATGATAAACTCACAGCGGAGTCATCTCTCGTGACACCCTCGACGTCTCACTCAACAGCTCCCATGTCCCCAAATGAACAGCTGCTCTGGAAAAATTTTCTTAAAATTAAGGCTTATTTTAGTTTTACCTGTGCAAGAGATCGATGTAATTTAAAGGTAATAAATAGGTGATGTAAAGGCTGAATGACGTGAGAGCAACCACTGTGAAAAGCTCGTACTGGAAAGGGTTTCGAATAAATTGTTTCTTCGCCGACAAACCTCCCAAACCGAATCGATCAGAATCTTTTGTGACATCCCGAGATTCGTTTTAAACTGAATAAACAAGAATTTTTCTTTAAATATATTGAAATGAATTGAAATAAATAGGGATTTGTTAAAAAATTTTTAACCTAAACTTTGAGACTTTGCGATTCATTTTAAACTAAATAAAAAAAGTAATTTTTAAATATTTTGAACTAAATTGAATTTGGGGATTTATTTTAAAGTAATAAACAAGGATTTCATTAAATATTTAGAATAATTACTGGTGCAAAAATGCAGGGCAAATAGATCGAGAGGAAAGCGGTGGAGAGGCCGGCGAAGAAACAACGCTTGAATCGGTGATACAAATCCTCTGTTAGAATCGCGATTTCTTCCCGAATTTGGGCTAAATTCAAGATTCTTTATCACTTAAAGCTTACACTTTACTGAAATATTGAATTTCTATCAAAATTTGCAAGCACTCACCCGGATGTTGGCTGCACATATGCGCTGTTGACTCGTGATCGACTGATTGGGGAGCTGGCTCGCAAAATCTTTCAACTACCTATAATATTGCTTTTAAGCAAATCGTGAAGCCAAAAATTTAACTGTAATTTAAGTTTAATATACAGGGTGCACCAAAAGTTCCCCGTACTTGTATTTTCTGCATTTTTGGTAATTTTAGATAAGAGATACGATTTTAAAAGTAAGAAATTAGAATTTCTCACGAAAAACTGATTTAGAAAACGTTTCTGGTTAATTTATAAGTGCAACATTATTTAAGACAAGTGATTGAGAAGAGGGTTCGCTCAGGGGCGCTTTGGTCACACATTTTTTGGGGCTTCAGGCCTGTAACTTTTATGGACCAAAAGATTTTCAAGAGCCAAGATGTTTTTCGAAAACTAGCCATAAAATGTGACATTTTTTATATTAGGTGTATAAAGTTTTGGTCAACGACCGAGACGGAAGTCAGGTTAGAACTTGGTTTTCCCATACAAATTTCCATCAAAGGAAATGTAACTGTGCCCTGTAACTGTGCCCTGTAACTGTGCCCTGTAACTGTGCCCTGTAACTGTGCCCTGTAACTGTGCCCTGTAACTGTGCCCTGTAACTGTGCCCTGTAACTGTGCCCTGTAACTGTGCCCTGTAACTGTGCCCTGTAACTGTGCCCTGTAACTGTGCCCTGTAACTGTGCCCTGTAACTGTGCCCTGTAACTGTGCCCTGTAACTGTGCCCTGTAACTGTGCCCTGTAACTGTGCCCTGTAACTGTGCCCTGTAACTGTGCCCTGTAACTGTGCCCTGTAACTGTGCCCTGTAACTGTGCCCTGTAACTGTGCCCTGTAACTGTGCCCTGTAACTGTGCCCTGTAACTGTGCCCTGTAACTGTGCCCTGTAACTGTGCCCTGTAACTGTGCCCTGTAACTGTGCCCTGTAACTGTGCCCTGTAACTGTGCCCTGTAACTGTGCCCTGTAACTGTGCCCTGTAACTGTGCGACCAAAGCGCTTTGGGCGCCCCTGAGCGGACCCTCTTCTCAATCACTTGTCTTAAATAGCGTTGCACTTATAAATTAACCAGAGACGTTTTCTAAATCAGTTTTTCGCGCGGAATTCGAATTTCTTACTTTTAAAATCGTAACTTTTATCTAAAATTACCAACAATGCAAAAAATACAAGTACGGGAACTTTTGGCGCACCCTGTAATTTTCATTCTTTTACTAACCTCTGTAATCTCAATTCCTCCCTTAATCCATATCCAGATCGCTTCTTTCACTCGTCGATATTTATGAATAAGTTCACTTTGGAAGATGTACGCATAGAAAGGTAGTCTATATTAAAATATGAATGAATTTTTTATAAATCAACTCACGGAACAAAAAACTGCATCACGGAAGACATCGGAAAATCGTTCCAGACTTTCGTAAAGCTGAACATAAAGGAAGTGACAACCTGGAAATCGTTTTTAAAAGAATAAAACTTATCAAGTACTAACCATTGTCATCATTGGTGTTTTCACAAAAGCGTACTCAAAAACGGTGAGACAAGATTGCATGAATTGTCCCTGATTTAGTGAGAGTTTCGCGACGACTTCGGTTATCTAAAAATGATTACATTACACTTTTTAACCCTATAATCTTGATCTAGTTTTGTTTACAAATAGAATTGACTTCAAATTCTCAAATCTTCAATCTTCAAGGCTTTTCAATTATACTTTAGAATTGTCTAAAATTGATTTTGCCTTTATTTTACTGCATCTACTTAGTTCAAAGGTATCTAAATTAGATCTCCTTTGAAGTACTGTGAACAGTTATTAATAGTGTTGAGAATATAATCGTTGTTTTAAATCATTTTCTAGTGTTTTCTAAAGTATGGACCTTCTACTGTACTCATATTTCTTCGCCATTTCACAGCATTCTTTCTCTTGCTCAAATTTGGGGGTATGCTAATTTCCGCAACAGGGTCATTTGCGCAACTCGCCATAACTTTCTTCTAAGTGGACCAATCTTTATGATTTTGGTTTCATTTTGTTGTACTTATTGAGGTCTACAAAATGACACTAAAAGCATAAAGATTGGTCCACTTAGAACAAAGTTATGGCGAGTTGCGCAAAAAAAATTGCGGAAATTAGCCTACCCTCGAATTCTTTCTCGAATTACCCAATATTTTATTTGTTTAAATAAATTGTTAAGCAAACTACGTCAAGTACACAAATTGTATTAGAAACACTAAGGCTATCAAGGAAATACATAAGATTAACGCTGTATTAGCGATTGGTCACTCTATTTTTCAATATCCCCTTCGAAGATTATTCTAATACAGCATTTACAATATTTGCATATCTTGATAACAAAGAAAACTATGCACCAAATAGATTTTTGTGTCAATTGTTTGTGTGAAAAATCAATTAGGTTTGACTAGAACTTTTGAAATCATGTTTTTCAGAAAATGTGAAATAAAAGAAATTTTTGAAAGATGGGAGTCGTTCTAATACAGCATTTTTAGCTTTAACAAATAACAAATTACTGTTTTCTGTTTACAGTTTTCTGTTTTACCGTTTTCCAAAAACATTTTGTCACTCGAAGTCGAAGTTAAAAACAATTTAGATAAACTAAAAAAGATGGGTAAAGTGCGGAATCGGGTCTCGGTTTTTGGAGGTCAAAGGACGGATGAGGGACCACCAGTGCCAATGAACGTTTTGTGGGTTTATGTAAAAGTTTTAGTAACAAATTTAGTTATTTAAGATAGTATTTATTAGATAAATTATTAGATAAATACAGCATTTTTAGCTTTAGCAAATAGCAAATTACTATTTTCTGTTTACAAACCGTTTTCCAAAAACATTTTGTCACTCGAAGTCCTAGCAAAAGACCAACACATGAGAGAAAATATGGATTGATTTGATGAAATTTCTGAAAACCTTTAGTTAGATATTCTTTTTTTAAATTCACCAAAGAATAATGCCAATACGATTTCGGTAGCCACCAGAGGGTTTTGTATAAATTAAGATATTGAAGGAAGAGAGCCAAAACAGAGTAGAGAAACAGGGTACACTCGAAGAAAAGCTCTCCTGGGAAAGTAAAATTTATAAAATTAGTTTTAATATTGGGCTGGTGAATTGAAAACTGCGGGCCATTGTCATATGTGACAACTTGAGCACTTTCTTCAAAAGAAACCCATTTTGGTGTCAATGGAAAAGTTGTAGAGAATCAAAAAGTAAGCTTATATCCAAATTTTCAGAACGATTCAAAAACTGGTTTTCAAGAAATGCCAAATTTACGAATTTTCACAAAACTTGCATTTTAAGCGAAACTACTAAGTGAATCTTTTTGGATATTTGGCTATAAGCCTAGTTTTTGATTCTCTACACGTTTTCTATTGACACCAAAATGGGTTTCTTTTGAAGAAAGTGCTCAAACTGGGACATCTCCAGTCCTCCACTTTTGAGTCTCACACACAAACCAAAATCCTACGCAGAAAGAGGAATCCGCAAATTGCCTGTAAAATGGGCAGAAGTCGTCAATAATAATGGAAATTATTTGGAATGAATTGATGGTTTTATGTTGAATAAATTTTAGTTCAAAGTCCGGCAGTTTTCAATTCACCAACCCAATAATAGTTAGTTTAATATTCAGTTATAAACCTGGTGTGCTATTTTGTTCGGGCATAAATGGATGCACGGAAATGATAAGGCCAGATGTTTCCATTGGAGCGCCACTGAAAGTTTCATTTGCTTTTAATATGTTTAGTGAAGAGATTCTAGTTCTAATTTACTAATATTGTTTTTATTTTCAGCTTACAAAAGCTTTAGAAGAAACAGGGTTATTTAAAATCCAAATTTTCCAGGTCAAGCAAGGCAATCAAGCCAAGTTCTCTCCTGACTTGCTTAAGCTGACTTTACGTCAAGCTTTACTGCAAAAACTATAATTATCTTTAGAATAAGATAAATTATTCGATAAATACTATCTTAAATAACTAAATTTGTTACTAAAACTTTTACATAAACTCACAAAACGTTCATTTGCACTGGTGGTCCCTCATCCGTCCTTTGACCTCCGAAAACCGAGGCCCGATTCCGCACTTTACCCATCTTTTTTAGTTTATCTAAATTGTTTTTAAAATCAAAAATTATAACTAAATTAGAAGAAAAACCTGTCATTGCTGGCTTCAAAAGGCATCGAATTTCAAGATTTCTCAAAGAAAACCTGTTTTGGCTACAAACTTCGGCAAAAAAACCCATTTCGACTACAACGAGCAACAAATGACGCCATTTTTCTGATTTGGACATGAAAATGAAGAGAAAACACATGAAACTTTGATAAACTACTTAAAGTTTTATGATTTTAATGATCAATGAAAGAATTCGAGAAGCATATTGTTGATTTTAGTAAGCAATTGGGATGGTGAGTTGATAAAGTCTTGTTTTTTGATTCATTTCAATTTAATTGATATTTTAATTTACATTTAAATATAATTTATAGTTTGTTAACGTTTAGAAATTGTCTATTTTACATTTCTCCACTTTAGCTCGTTTACCGATGAAGACGCTCCATTGCAACAATGGTCAACCGAAAATTGCTTCGAGTTTTTGACGAGATGTCTATGGAAGATTGATCCCGAGACACAGTATGAGAGTTCTTTTTATCTAATTGACATACCGTAAATACTGTAATAGTACCCCACCCCTCTCGTACAGTCGCGTAGTCGCAAAAGGTTTTTAGTATTTCATTTTTTGCAAAGCACACGTACTTTCAAAAAATGCGCCTTTGGTATCAAAAAATAGCTGAAATTCAGGGCTATTTTTTGATATCTAAACGCGAATTGTAGCATAAACCAGTGTCGAGAAAAACTCGTTCAAAGCTAGACTACACAACACTCTGCACCGTCATTATGGGGGTGGGGTACTATTACAGTATTTACGGTAATTCTATTAGTAATTAAGACTATAATAAGCTGTAATCGGCTCTAATAAAATCAATTTACGATTAAAAATCCCATCATGGAAACTTCCGTCAATCGTCACTGCAAGATTTGCGAAAGCAACCGAGATCACTGACGCTGTAAAGGTCTTTAATTTTCTATAATATTTAATAATAAAAAGTAAACAGAGTTAAAGAGTTAAAATGAAAGAGTTATTAATGAAATCTGAGTCTCTAGTTAATCGGAATTCGTCGCGAATTCGGCTACCAAACTCTTCTCTATGGAGGACTCTCCGATTTGATCCCTCTATTTTTGGATTTAATTGAGAAAATCCCAAAAGAAGAACACTTCATTGAAGAAACGAAAAGTAATAAAAGACAAATTGAATGTTTTGCTTTAATGCTTTGCTTCAATGCTTTAATCAGTTACAATCAAATTCTAGGTGTTAAAGAGCAACTCTTGGCTCAAGCTTGTTCAACGATCCAACCGGGATGGGTACCTGAGTTCTGTCGGCGATTAATGATGCGTTACGACGGAAGATTTTGGTGTCCATCTGAGGTTTTAATCAATTATATTATCAATTTATAAAATAGCTTAATGATTTTCGTTTTTTTCCATTGTAAAAATTGCTTTTTAAGATTTAGGAATTTCAATTTTGTGGCTTACTGTTAGTTTGAAGGATTGCTTCTATTTTTATGATTCCTTGACAACTTTAAGTTTTGATTTTTATGTGTAAACTGGTTTTAAAGTTATTCTATATATCTAAATGTTAAACTTCTTATAGTTAAGAATTGTTTTCAGGATTTTCCCGAATACGTGAGTCCATTTCAAGATGTTGATCATCGAAAAGCTCTCCAAGCCGGAAGTGATAGTCGCAAGTGGATTGCAGCATTGTTAAGGTTCGAAAAAATGATATTAGATTTAGATTTTTTAAATAAAAACTATACTTGAAAGCCTAGAATATGGTTTTTATTTTAGAATTGGCGGTTTAAAAGCTGGGAGTCTCGGGAAAATGGATGCAATGATTGTTGGAAAGCCTCGACCAGCACCGAAACCAAGGCAATACACTATTTGATTTTAGAAATAGCATTTAAGATTTAGCTTTGAATATTTATATCTTAAATTTCTAATCTTTAGATTAAAACCTGAACTACCGCCGAAACCGAAATTGTCGCCGAAAACAAACACGGAAACCGAGTCAAGAATGGCTGAAAAACGAGCGAAACTCGAGAAATTGAGAGCGGAAATTGATGAGAAGAAAATGCACATAATACAGGTTTCAAAAAAAAGACTATTAGTAGGCTAAAATGTTCTCAGATCAAATGCCAACATGTGCTTGTTGAAGATAAGATTCAACTCTTCGAAAAACAAATGGCGGATGTTGATGAAAGATGGACGACGTTGTTGGAGAATCCAGAAGAAGGAGGAGAACGGTTGCAGGTAGAGTTATCAGCTTTACAATTAAAAAATCTGTAATTGTAATTGTAATTGTAAACATCTGTAATGTGATTTTTCAAGTTTTTGCGTAAAAAAATCTCTTGACCATTTGCAGAAAGTGCTAAACGAGAGCGCAGCCAAATTCGAGCGTCTTGAGGGGAAATGGAAAGCGATGAGAGACGAGAAAATGGGAAAACTTCAAGAGTTGAAAGAGAAATATTCATCTGCAGTAAGTGGAGTTAAAAAAAAAATTGTCAAAATTCAGCTTGAAATTGAAAATCTTCGGGAAAAAGCTCAAACAGTGAGGGGAAAGCGAAAAGCGCTTATCGAGGAGATGCAAGGGAAGGAGCAATATATTGAAAAATTGGTTGATAAAATGAAAATTTTGGACAAATTATTGCTTTTAGAAAAGAAGATTGGAAAAATTGGAAAGCGATGATTGTAATCGGGGAATGTTTACGAAAAGGATCACAGAGATTGTGAACAATATTAGAAAGCAAAGAGAGGAAATGGATAAGGTAAGACAGAGAATTGAAGACAGAGGATTGAAGACAGAGATTTGAATACTATTGGGTTGGTGAATTGAAAACTGCGGGCTATTGTCATAAGTCACAGTTTGAGCACTTTCTTCAAAAGAAACTCATTTTAGTGTCAATAGAAAAGTTGTAGAGAATCAAAAATTAGGCTTATATCCAAATTTTCAGAACGATTCAAAAACTGGTTTTCAAGAAATGCCAAATTAACGAATTTTCACAAAACTTACATTTTAAGCGAAACTACTAAGTGTATCTTTTTGGAAATTTGTCTATAAGCCTCATTTTTGATTCTCTACAACTTTTCTATTGCCACCAAAATGGGTTTCTTTTGAAGAAAGTGCTCAAACTGGGGCATCTCCAGTCCTCCATTTTTGAGTCTCACACTTGTCTCACACACAAACCAAAATCCTACTACGAAAGAGGAGTCCGCAAATTGCCTGTAAAATGGGCAGAAGTCATCAATAATAATGGATATTATGAATGAATTGATGGTTTTATGCTGAAAAAATTTTAGTTCAAAGTCCGGCAGTTTTCAATTCACCAACCTAATAAAATCTTTTAAAATCTAAAGAGTATCGTCGAAAATTGCTTTTTCATGAAACTACAATTACAAATAAAAACTAAGCTTTTAGGTAAACAAGGATATTCTCAGCCTGCACAAAGAAATTCGCTGGCTTTCCCAAGCTGTTCAACGAACATTTGGTGTTATTGAAGAACAGCTATACAGGGTAAAAATCGAAATGATTCTTTATTTTGTTTAATAGGTTTTAAAGATAATTTTATTTAAAAAAACAATTTCAGGAAGCTAACCAATCTTATAAAGGTGAAAGATCGTATAAACTTTTCTCAAAAATTCACGCGTGTTGTCAAAAAGCGATGCATTGTATTGAGCGTTCTGGACAATTAGCAAAAAATGTGGAAGAATTGACGGATCATGTAAGATTTTAAAGCCTAAAGACTAAAGCCTAAAGAAAAGCCTTATAAATCAATGGTTTTCAATGATAAAAATTAACTACTTTAGCTATTTTAATATCAAAAAGAACTAAACTTTTTCTATTTTAAGCATTAAACAAGTTGTATTAACTTTCTTGCAATTTGAGTACCTTTAAAATCATATTTTATTTTATTCTAGATTAAAATTTTATTAATAATCATCTTCCAAATTGTTTTATTAACTTGTTTACAAATCTAGATTCATATATTGTCATTGTTTAGGCTGAAATCGGTCGACAGAGCACAGTGGATACTCGTCTTTATCAAGTTCTTACCGATCTCGAGGCAGTTGAGGCTGAAAAAGAGCGATTTAAAGAAAAAATCAAAGAAAACGGTATAAAAGCTGAATAACTTCAATATTTCTTTTTCTCTTTATTGCCAAAATTTGTGATTCATTGAAGAAATTTGGTTACTTCGGGTTTTTCTCATCAAATCATTCCTTATTACCGTATTCTCTTTAATAGTAGTGCACCCCGGCGAGTTGATGACGATTTTACGGTTTCCAAGCTTTTGCAGAAGCTCAACACTCTAATCTTCCACTAGATCTCATCGTCAGCTACATTTTCCGACCCCACATCGATAGGCTCTGATAAACGGTTCTCGAGATTTCGAGGAATTTAGGCAGCGCTCTGGGTGCACTACTATTAGAGAGAATACGATATTCCCTTTCACTAGAGCTGTTCATCAAAGGTGCAATCCCACCGGTAGAGTATTGATTCTTCTTTCATAGCCGTCATTCTCTCTAATAATAATGCACCCCGCCAAGCCGAGTTGATGACGATTTTACGGTTTCAAAGTTTTCGAAGAAGCTCAACACTCAAATCCCCCACAAGATCTCATCGTCAGCTACATTTTCCGACCCCACATCGATAGGTTCTGATAAGCGGTTCTCGAGATCTCGAGCAATTTAGGTAACACTCTGGGTGCACTACCATTAGAGAGAATACGGTATTCCCTTTCACTAGAGCTGTTCATTTTTGATCTCATTGTCAATAGGTGTACAGCGGAAAACGAAATTCGACCATTTCAATGATTACTTTTTCAGGATTTTTTGCCAAATAAAAGTCGAATTTTTCAAGCTCTATCTTTCAGTCTGAAAAACCCTTGCAAAAGTTGCTGTTGAAGTGGTTAAATCTCGCTTTTCCGTTTTACATCTATTGATAATCATACAGAAAATGAAGAGCTCTACCTTTTAATGGTTTGTAAAGTGATGGAATTTTATTATTTGGTGCTTATAAAGTTAATAAATGTAACTTATTCAGAAATTTTCTTCTAAAAAATTCAATCTCAAAGAAGAATTATCGTTTATAAGTGAGATTTTAGGTTTAAATTTGCCACATTTTGCTTAAAATGTTAGCCAAAATGAGCTGCTTGGCTAAAACCAAAGAATTTTTACTCAAAAATCTCTTAATTAAAGAGCTTATTGTAGCTAAAGTTCTTTTCCTTTCTTTTTTTCCTTATCTCTCTAGGTTAGGTTTCTTATCTCTCTAAGTTTGGTTCCTTAGCTCTCTAAATTTGGTTCCTTATCTCTCTAAGTTTGGTTCCTTAGCTATCTAAATTTGGTTCCTTAGCTCTCTAAGTTTGGTTCCTTAGCTCTCTAAATTTGGTTCCTTATCTCAACAAATTTGGCGCCTTATCTCTCTAAGTTTGGTTCCTTAGCTCTCTAAATTTGGTTCCTTATCTCTCTAAGTTTGGTTCCTTAGCTCTCTAAATTTGGTTCCTTAGCTATCTAAATTTGGTTCCTTTTTTTCTAAAGTTGCTAAAGTTTCTTTTAGTTTTCATTTTCAAACTTTTTTTTTTGACATTTCATTTTTCAATGACAATTTGAACAAAGGAAATTAAAAATGATGTCATTTCTTTATTGTTATTTCTTTGTTACTCACTGTTTACTACTTTTTTTGACAGTTTGACCAGAAAATTTGGACAATCTGTTTAATCATCAAAGCTTTCTGTAAGTAGTAAAATCCCTATTACCTTCTTCCTCTATTTGTTCAACAAATCTACCAATTCTCAACGAAAAACTGAACAAGAACAGAGAAATGATTGATAACTCCATCAAAAACTTCTTCAATCATCCATTGTCTCTCCATTAACACAATTTTTCATGCTTTTTATGAACAGACTCTTGGATTGACATGGAGAACTCCAAAAAAATTCGCAAAGTTTTCACCACATCGAGACGGTTTTAAGCTAAAAAGGAAAAAGCTGACTCTGCTTTTCTTTTGCTTTTCAGCTTTTCAGGCACAACACCACTTTTCAGTCCCGGTGGCGAGTTCAACTCAAGGTCAGACTTGGAGAGAACACAAGGGAAAGCCTCGAATAGCTGACGATCTTCCTAGACAAGCGAGAACAATAGAATTATAGTAAACAAGGGAAATAGGTATATGGAACATCTGGAAAGATGATAATCCTCTAGATTAAGCTCTTGATTTTTTTTGTTTGTTCAACACAAAGTTTAAGCCATAGTTTGAAAGCTTAAAAGCAATAGATAATTCAAAGTAAAGAACAATGAAAGATTTTAGATGCAAACGGTTTTAAATGTGATTGCGAACGAACGTTTTTCTCATACACTGAGTTGCTCTATTATCGACATCCCGACGAAGAGCAAATCTATGGCTTTGCTTAATTGATCACTATTTGGAAGAGTTTTTAAACAACAACAACAACAACAACAAATACTTGTTATTGATTCAAAATCGATTCAAAAGCAAAATAAAGCTACCAAAAATTGATAAACATTATCCAATGCTTCAGAACTTTTTACAGTAAACTAAACGTTTAAATCAGCTAAACTTTAGCCAGAACTTTCTTTATTGTTTGTCCCCAAATAGTTCTGGCTAAAGTCACTTTTTCGTGACTTTTTCTAGCAATAGAACTCAAACCAGTTGCTCCTTCTGTGAGCAAATTTCCGAAAAGCTTTCCTCAAAAAAAGAGTGAGCTCTCCCTTCGACTTTTCAGTCCATCGAGAAGCGACTCCCGATGGTTTTTGAAAGGCAAAAAGGAAAGCTGACGAAGGCTGAAGGTCACCGTGTTCCACAGCACCGTTTTCGGTTTTCCAAGCCACAGCCACGAGATTCACCTACCTCTTTCTAACCAGTTTTCTCGGGTCTCTCAAGTACTGTCCTTGGTCGAACGTCCCCTCGAGGGGCTTTCAAGTTTTTTTTTGCTCTACTCCCGACTCTCTTATGGACAGCAATGCCTGCCCTCTCAAGTGAGAGTCTTTGTTTGGATGCTATAACGAGTTTTGACTCTAGTTCACAACCCCCACCCTAGGATTCCTCAGCTATACACATTATCATTTCCAACTGACCACAATGTTAACACTGGCTACTTCGATGGTGGGTTTTACGAGTGCAATTTGCTTTGCTTAGAGATTAGAAGGATTTAACTATTCCAGGTATTCAATACTGAACTATTTAACGTCAATTCTATCCACTTAAAGGCACTGTATTTACTGTCATCCATTTTATAACCATTTTTTTTTCATTTTCCCCCAAATTTTTTATGATATAAGCTTTTGGAAACCTATTTTTCCCACTTACAAATTCAAAAATCGTTCTCTAAGTTCGAAACTATCGCAGTTTAACTTTTATGAAATAATTTAAAAATCTTCTTAGATAGTTACCGTAAATACTGTAATAGTACCCCACCCCCATAATGACGGTGCGGAGTGTTGCGTAGTCTAGCTTTGAACGAGTTTTTCTCGACACTGGTTTATGCTACAATGCGCACTTATCTATCAAAAAATAGCTGAAATTCAGGGCTATTTTTTGATACCAAAGATAATGACGATGCGGAGTGTTGCGTAGTCTAGCTTTGGACGGGTTTTCTCGATGGAGATGGAGATTGGCTAAATGGAGATTGTTACCGAAAATCTGTCTTCTGGCACTGAAGTAGAGAGGATTTTTGGTAGTACAAACAGTACGAAATACTGTAATACATGTTATAGTAAAACTTGATCATTATAGACTTTAGATCTAGCTCTGCAAATTCTCCAATCTGTTTCTTGATTACAGTAGTTTCAATGAATAGTTCAACTCTCATTTATTGTTACAAATTGAAACAAAACAATTGACTAAAATGAAATAGAATCTTGACTCTGAGTCTGGTAAATCTTACGAACAATCTTACGAATCTTTTACAATAAAACCTTTCTTCACAACTAGACCTTTTTCTCTCAAGAAGAAGCCCGATTCTAGTACTTTGTCTGGCTTCAAACCATCCCCATAACACTTAGTGACTGTAGAGAGCAGGCCGTAATCCGTGCGGCTCCTGTAATCCATCGAATCCAGCCTTTCAATAGGGGATCGGCACGGCTTTGCCCATATTGCCATCCCACTTTTTCTCTTCCGATCCTTCAGACTTGCAGTCTAAATCATGGACAGCCGTGATCATCCAAATCCTTTCCCCTGTATTCGTCCAAAGTAATCCCCAGCTAACAGGCAACCGGATCGGAGTTTCCACAAGTTTCTTCTATTTAGATTTTTACTTATTTTCCTTTCAATTGATAGACTTTATATTTTTAGTTATACTTAGAATCAGTTAAAACAGTAATGAATCTATTAATAAGCTATTAATAAGCTCTATTAATAGCATAATTTGATTCAGAAAATAGTAAACAATCTCTTTCATCAGCAATCTCAACCCTTCCACTTTATGGCCTCTATTAATAGCAATGAATCTATTAATAAGCTACCATTTCAAATTTTTTATCATTTCTTTTTTTGACAGGAAATCTGACATTGTAACCTTCTTCTTATAGCTTTTTTGCTTTACTGTACAAGAAAAGCCTGGATGTATTAGATAATATAAGTGCTACAGTACTTTTTATACCACTAACTGATCATTTAGTTAGCGTCTAGAAGTCTAGAAAGTCTAGAATTCTTTAGCTAGCTTACTGTATTATTGATTTGATTCAGAAAATCGTAAACAATCTCTTTCATCAGCAATCTCAACCCTTCCACTTTATGGCCTCTTTTCGAATCATTTAAATCCATTTCCCATTCTCCGATCCGTAGTAATCCCCGACTAACAGGCAATGGATACAAAATTTGAACCAAATTTTGTCCACTGGGTTTTGAAATCCACCGGGTTTTGATGAGAGGCAAGCTATGATAGATTTAACGATTTCGATACAGGCAATGGATACAAAATTTGAACCAAATGCGTAGATTTAACGATTTCGAAACTTAGATACAGTACTATTTGAGGAGTTATTCACTTCAAATTTCAATATCCATTTTACCTTTAAAACTTTTCCTTTTCTTCCTTCTGGTCAATTAATCACACAAATCCCCTTTCTAAAATTGCTTTCACTAATAAACAGTCAGAGAAAGGGAAAGAGGAGAAATGAAAAGGAACAGGTGAAACTCTTGTCTAGGATTGCCTCTATTTCCCCTCCTCTGGATCTCTCAAAGACTCCAGAATCACAGCTTTCAATCAAACAAATAAGTCAATTCCTATACTACTTAAAAATTCAATTTTCGTTTGGAGAAAGCTTTAGTTTCATAATATTGTACTATTGTACTATTTGAGTAATCGAGAACTATCTTTTTTTTTTGCTTTAAACAACTCTCAACCCTATTCAAATTGATATCTACTTTGGGTTTTGAAGAAGAAATGATTCCAGCTTGGTTTTTACCATTCATAAAGATATTTAATTGAAAAATGAAAGATTCAAAAAGTTGTTTAAAGCTAGAAATCTAGCTTTGGCTTTATTCTGAATCGAAAAATCTCTTCTTTACTTTCGATACTTAAAACATTAAGGTTTTGACCATCAGTTTAATCATAAAGCTTTCTGTAACTAGTAACGTAAATCAAAAAATCTCTTCTTTACTTTCGATACTTAAAACATTAAGGTTTTGACAATCAGTTTAATCATAAAGCTTTCTGTAACTAGTAACGTAAATCAAAAAATCTCTTCTTTACTTTCGATACTTAAAACATTAAGGTTTTGACAATCAGTTTAATCATAAAGCTTTCTGTAACTACACTACTGGACAATGAAATATCAAATTTGAAAAACGATCGTCACTTTTGCACGTCTGTAACTCCCTTGTTTTTACCGTATTTCTAAATATTAATATTACCATTGTATATCCCTTGAAAAGAGCTTTCAGAAAATATATAGCACTAATAGTTTAAACTCAAAGACAAGGGAGTTACAGACGCGCGAAAGTGACGATCGTTTTTCAAATATCATATTTCATTGTCCAGTACTGTAGTAACGTAAATCAAAAAAATCTCTTCTTTACTTTCAATACTCAAAACATTGAAACATTCACCACAATCTCTAATTGCATAAACATAAAAGCACTTTTTTTTCCTTCTCTTCAACGAGTATTGGAGTGAAATCCACCGGGTTTTGATGAGAGGCAAGCTATGATGAGAGGCAAATGCCCGTTTAGAAGCCGATGGCATCAATTTCACTTTCTCCTTCTCTTTCTTTCTCTTTCACCCAGCAGGTTTGCACAAGAAAAAAAGATGTGAAAGGTGTAGGCGAAAGCCTTGTGGATTAACCGAAAGGATAAATCTCTTTTTCAGAGACTATCCTTTGCCAATGATTTGAAGATTCTGCTGAGCTTTATCTGATGGTGGGAAAATTATGGCAGAATATAGGCTAAATAGGCAGAATATAGCCTAAATAAATTGTTATAGGTTTAGTTGTTATAGTTTAAAATTAAAATAAAATTTTATAGCATTTATCCTTTCAAAGTTTCAAGAAAAAACGAAAATTTGATGGTTTTAAGCTTTCAAAAAATTTCATAGCTTTTATTTCACTAGAAAATTTCATTGAATGTTTAAAGCTGACTTGGCAAACTAGTCATAAATAGGCTGTACTTTGTGCTTTGACAAACGCGAGCTTCTTTGCATATTGACATTGGATAAATGTAGAATTAGTTATTAGAATGGATTAGAAGTCAGGAATTAGATCTGGATTTTGAGCTCGCTAAACGCAGGCACTTTGACTCAATGAAGTCTTCATGATTGTTAAAAGAATAATGTCTGTACCAGTAAGATTGCGTTTACTAGAGTAAGGGGAAACTAAGGGGCAAAGTACGAGCAAAGTACGGACAAACTAGACAGTACTTCAGCACAGTGCCAAGGACAAGACTGTTCTAGACCTTCGACTAAGCTTCGACTAAGTCTAGACTTGATTTGCCTGATTCACTTCTATGTTAACGTGTTCTTAGTCCCAACACTTGCTCTCTTTTGGCTGAAAAACGTTATCAGAGTTGGTGAATGACAAAGACAGTTTCACCTCTTCAGTTTCACCTTTTTACGAACCAACAGGGATCGTGATCCACCCCCATTTCACCCTAAGGGTTGAACCGATTTCCCCTCCTCGAAATCCACACATCCTTTTCATTCTTTGTCTTCTTTTCTTTCTTTCTTTCTTTCTTTCTTTCTTTCTTTCTTTCTTTCTTTCTTTTTGCCAATCCTTCTCATTCGATCCGATTCCATCAATTCACTTTGGCATTTTCACTTTTTCACTTTCTTTTTTTTTATGACACTATCCCAGACTCTCCCGGGTCTCGATTCAGACCGATTCAAACCGATTTGGATCTTGCTTTTTGCAGAATTTATCTCAATGCTGGCTCACTATCAACTCTTGACTCTATA